TAGCTATTTCTTTTTGAAACGTTCAGTGGACTTTTGAAGAAACCGCTTTATAGCTTCTTTATTATTTTTATTAAGTTTCATAGACGTAACATATCCTGTTAGTTTGAATTTTAGTACAAAAAGGATTCCATTAGGACCTTCATTAAATTCAATAACAGATGGATAACTGCAGACTCTAAGAACCCTCTGCCCGAAAAAATATATTTTGGGCAGCGTCTACAAATAATCTGGTTAAGTATCTCGTTAGCGTTTTAGTAAATCATCTGAAGATAGATCACTAAAAGTTGGTTTTAAAATTATGAAGACTGAAACATAAATATTTACTTGCTCTACATAAGTATTTTCACCATGTCTAAATGATATTTGCACCAAGTCTCAGTGTCTTTTTGACACATAAGGTGTCAACATTCCTTGTCGTCAAAATCTGTAAACAAAACAAAACCGAAACAAAACCACCGAAACAGCTTTTTTCATAGCATACAAATTGTTAAGATTGTTTCTTATTGCTAGGCTATAGAAGTTCTGCATAGAATTGATCAAAGATTTAGTTAAGTTTCTTTTTTCATGTAGTGGTGTGCTTGTTCCTTTGTAAGTTTGTACCTTACAAAATCTAGTGTCCATTATCTTCAGTACAATTTGTATAAATTTTGCAATAAAATATGTTATCAGGAATTTTAAGAAATTAGTTATAATCAATAAAATTGCTGCAAAGTTAAGTTTTCAAAAATTTGTGTTAGAGGGTGTCGACAACAAGACCACATTAAAATGATAATTTTCCTTTGCATTTAAAGCATCTATGCAAAAACTATAACTCTCAAACTTGTGATCAATTAACTTAAATAAGATACGTACTTAATGATATTAATCATGATTTTTTGTAAATAGGGAAATATAACATTTTTTGTATTAAAAATAATATACAGTACTTTACTAAATAGGATTATTTCAGTCTCTCTGGTTAAAGTTATGAAATTAATTAATGAAACACTTTTGATTTTTTTTAAAACTATGAATAACTGTGTTTTTATAAAAATTTGTGAAAGTGATATCCAATTATGATTTTAATAATCCAGCAATTATTTTATTGTGGATTTGCAATGAACCTATATAAGCATTTTGAGCGGTTTATTGGAGTTTTGCTCGTAGGTTACTTAAGGGACTTTCTAAAAGTGGCTAGCCAATAACTCTTCCACGTGTAATTTAAAAGCTGGTTGTTGGCTATGTAATATGGCGGCTGCCATTAATGGTCCACTATGTAACTAATGAGCCTTTTTACAGCAGAAAAACAGTGAGAAGATCTCAAAATGCCTATAAAAGTCTTCTAAAATTCCGCTGTAAAATGTTTGCTGGGAAGGTTGTTTAAAACAACATTTTGCTGTGTGTACTTTTTTTCCATGAAGTCAAAATTAACTTAAAAATACTTAAAAAATGTATTACTTTCATTTAAAAAATACTATTTTTTAAATGTAAAGATCGTCAGAGGATTGTCAGAGTATAAGTTTTTGTTGTAAAGTTTTTATTCTAAAATAATTAAAAGTAGTGTCATTTGTGTAATCAAAATGAGCGCATTTGTTAACTATAAACGTTGTATTAAAAGCTTTATTTATTTACTTAAAATTTTTTTTTATAAAGGTTCAATATATAGTTTTATCTTCTGTAATAAAAAATTTCCCCTGTTTTAATTGATTGTCCGTTTCTTTACCCTGAAAGTTCTATAACTTGCCTCTAAGACTTTGAATAATTTCCGTTCGATTTTACAATTATTATTTATTACATCAGTTTGGATAAAAAAGAGTTTAAAAAGTAACTAAAAGAGTTTAAACTAAATTTTTTACAAAATTTCTAATGACTGTAATTCTAATTTTATTTAATTACAAATTAATGTTTTCACTGATGACATTTTTTCTACTTATCTAAATGAGAGTTTGTGTGTTAAAATGAACAATACCAGTTATAATATATACTTTCCAATATATAAGGGAGATAAAAAATTTATAAAACAATACCTTTTTGAGAAAATGTGAGAAGACATTTAAAAATAGGTAGCATATTTTCAAATAAAACATTTGTTAAACCACCAATAAGCAAATAGTGTTCTAATGGAAATAACTCCATCGATGTTGTCAACTGATGGCCCATGCAACTATTTAAAAGCTTTTCCAAGATCATACAAGTTAATAGCAATCCAGAAGACATGTCTATAATTAAAACAAAGAACATGCCTGTAAATTAAAAGAACTTTAACTGGTCATATTTAAAAATTATTATTAAAAAATAAAAACGAAAAACTATTTGACATTACCCACCTACTTGTTGACAATATATCTAAAATGATTATTTCTACCATTAAAAATTTATGTCTACTTGTTAATAACATATTTAAAATGATTATTCCTACCATTAAAACTCATAATTGCAGGTTGTATAACTTTTTGTAAAAAACAGTTTATGTTAAAACAACATCTTGCAACCAGAATGCATATAAATGTTGACAATGACGCGCAAACATCCGAGCTACCTAGCTAAAAGTGTTATTTAATTTTTTTACACATTTTATATTTGATACAAAAAAAAAACGTTATTCTATACAATGTTTGAACAATTAAGGTCTCAATTAAATCTATATATAACAAAGGTATGTTTTACAATAGGTAATAGATACATACAAGATGTAGAACTGACCATATAAGGTATAAAACAGACCATGAATTTAAGAAAATTTTGATTTTTTTTTTCCACTGAAAAATCTTTTTTTCTTGTTTATTAAAGTTCAAAATCAACATTTTATTAAAAATATAATGTACATAAATAAAATAAAGCAAATACAAATATAATCCATTTTTTATATTTTGAAAGGTGTCTTTTATAGAACACTCTGCACTATTTTGTATAACTTTTATAATTATTATAATTATTATAATTATTATAACTATTATAATTGCTTGAATTAGCTCTAAACAAATTTATTGTCCACTTACTTTCTAAAACCCTTCCCCCCCCCCCTCCTCCTTAACAAACAAAAAAAGAAAGAATTAACCTTAAAAAATTTATATTAAAAACTTGCAAGTCATTGACAAAACAGTTTAAAAAGTCTAAACTATGAAAAAAAAGAATATCAGAAACAAAATCTTTACAAATAAATAGAACATACAATAAAGAAACTAGAACATACAATAAATAAAATAGAACATACATTAATAGTTGACAACAAATAAGTAAACTTGAACATACATTAATAGTTGACAACAACTCATTAAATCCATATTCTTTTGATGGTTTGCAACAAAGAGCCTTGGCAACACCTAGCCATAGAGGACCTAGTGCACTAACACGAGCTGTTACTTCACAACATAAAATGCTTGTATTGTATAACCTGTAATGTACAATACAAATGTAAAATACATTTATAATTAAAATAGGAAATTATTTTATCGTTTACTTAATTGTATTTTAAAAATTATGCTAACAAGATTGCAATTCCATGCATAATAACATAATACTGTTTTACTGGCAATATTATTTAGATACTTTATCTAATTGAAATTAAATCTCCTTGAAATTTCAACCAACTACTTGAATTGTAAACTGCATTGAAAGCATTCTGAATGTAAGTAACTTACCCTGTGCTACTGTGAGATTTACACACAGCAGTAACAGCATTGCACACAAAACTAAACAAGTCATCATGATGATCATTACGCAAATATTCAATCCATATCGCATCAATTTTTGTCATTCTATGAATTGAGAAATATTCTACTTAAAACTTAAAAAAATTGAAATGTAGTATTATCTGTATTTATATTTACATACATATCTATATAAGTAAATTTAAGTTACTTTAAAAAAAGATAAGAATTTTTAAAAAAAGTTATTTAAGTTTTTTTGGTATCTATGGAAAACTTATGTGTATATGGTCAAATAAAAAGCAACTATATTTCAAGCTAGCTCAAAATGGGAAACAAAAACAAATAGATTATTCAACTTTTGAGTATTGGAATAGTGTCCAAGAAGGTCATTAAGGCCTTTGGAATCCACAGAAACACAGTTCTCAGAGTAAAAAAAGGGATTTAAGAAAGTGGATGACCACTACCAAAAAAAAAGGGGTTTAAGAAAGTGGATGACCACTACCAAAAAAAAAGGGATTTAAGAAAGTGGATGACCACTACCAAAAAAAAAGGGATTTAAGAAAGTGGATGACCACTACCAAAAAAAAAGGGATTTAAGAAAGTGGATGACCACTACCAAAAAAAAACTCTTAAGATTGTAAATTTAAATTTCTAGCTGACCAGGAACCCGGTACAGTCAATACAGCAGACAACAAAAAGATTTCGATATGTCAAAAGGAAGAAGGAGAAACCTCATAAAATGTGATATTGGCGCTAGATCTATAACCAGTACAGCTCATCCATAACTGACTGAAAGAAATAAGGCGAACAGATTTGAAAGAAGCAAACAAATCTTGGCCTTATTGAAGAAAGACATGCAAATTTTACCGTTTTCTTATGAAAAAATTTTAAGTAGATCTACAGCCTCAAATAGCAGAAAAGCACGAAAAGTAAACTTCTTAAACTCTTCAGACATGGTTTCAAAGCAAAACATCCTAGTCAGGTTACGGTTTTTGTAGTCATTGCCTCTGATGGCCAAAACATGTCTTGTGTATGTAAAAAAAGGCAAAAAACTGAACACTAGTTATATAAACATTCTGGAGAGCCATGCCAAGTTTTGGATAGAGGTAACCTATGATAAAGATACAAAAACATTTACCTAACATGGAGCACTGGGCTACACTGCCAAAAAGACACAGACCTGACTTGAAAAAATATGTTCAATTGTTGGCCAAAAAACTGGTGGCCTCCTAACCCTCCAGGACAATTCAGGGCTATAATTTAGTCAGATGCTTGTGCAAAATCCCACTTAAACACTGGGGCTCTCAAGACTAATCTTGTCAAGAGTTGTTGTTCAAGCAATTACATCCAGTACCATTGATAGTAGGATTGATAATATATATGTATATATATATATATACATATATATATATATATATATATATATATATATATATATATATATATATATATATATATATATATATATATACATACATATATATACATATATATATATATATGTATAGATATATACATATATACATATACATATTTATATATATATATATATATATATATATATATATATATATATATATATATATATATATATATATATGTATATATAACTGTATAGATATATACATATATACATATAGACATGTTGCAACAGCTCTTGTTTTTATGACTGCTTCTAAATCTCTTGCCATGCTTTTAAAAAGCTTGGCTGTGACATCAATTTAATTCCTTGAACCTTGGTCTATGAACTCTTTTTTATTTGTTTATTTTGAAGGAGGTATTTTAGGTTTTAAAAATGCTCATAAATCTTTATTGGGATTAAGGTGTGCGGTTTATGGCAGCCATTTAAGGATAATAATATTACTTTTTTTGAAGAACAGTTGTGTCACTCTGCTTGTATGTTTGGGACACTTGTCTTGTTGAAAAATAAATTTGCTATCTAAAATCAATTATTTAGTGGATTGACACAAACTTTTAGAAAACAAATCAAAATATAATTGTCCTGCCATTATACCTTCAACATTCGCCAGCCTTCCTACACCATTATTAGCAAAGCATCCCTAAACCGTAAGTGAGCCATTTTTGACAGTTTTTTCAAGATTTCTAAGAGTGCATCGCAAGGTCTAGATCAAACTCTTTGTCATTTTATAAAACCAAATGTTTAAAATTTACTCTCATTAGACCATAATACTGAGTTCCAAAATGCCTCACTCTTATCATGCAGTTTTACAAATGTCATACAGTATTGCAAATGGAGCAAGTCTTGGCTCATGGAGTTAAACGTAAAAAAATGCAAAGTCATGCACTTTCGTCAAAAAAATTCAATTCCCTTCGAGTACTCAATGGAAGAAACTGGCTCTAATTCGATAATGACACAAACAAGTTTGGAAAAAACCACCTCTGAACGTGACTTGGGAATCCAAATTACTAATGATCTTAAAGTGGAAAGCCAATCCATCATCGCATCATGTAAAGCAAACCAAATGCTTGGTATTTTAAAACATACCTTACAATGTCGTGATGCTTCTCTGTGGAAACAACTATACTCCACCTATGTCTGTCCTCTACTTGAATTTGCTATCCCAGCTTGGAAACCTCATTTGGTGAAAGACGAGCAAGTTATTGAGAAAATACAACACAGAGCCACAAAGATACCGCACAAATTAAAAAATTTAAACTATCAGTCTAGATGTGAAAAACTTGGCCTTACATCTCTAATTGACCGCCGTAAACAAGGTGACCTCATTCAGAAATTTAAAATTGAGAAAAACATTGACATAATTAACTGGCATTTTCCTCCTATTACAATTCCGCTGAGAGCTAATCACAGAGAGAGATTTCACCGGGAAAAATATAACAACAATTTTACTTGTTTTAATTTTTTTAATAACCGAATTGCCAACACATGGAACAGCTTGCCAGATAATGTAGTCTACTCTTCATCTGTCAACAGCTTTAAAGCGAGACTTGATAGGCTTCAAAGTTACAACAGCTCGCAATTCCCTTTGATGGAAGTTTCATTATGAGCTTCACAAATGTTATCTATGATTTGACAATCTACATTTGTATTCTGTCAATTATCTTTACATTTGTTGTAACAAATAAATACTAAATACTACTAATGCTAAACGTTTTTTTTTTTTTTTGTTTATACCACTAATGAGGGGTTTATTTTTATGAAGATGCTCATGAATTAAGTCTTCTCTGTACAGTTTGACTGGAAAATTTAATTTAAGATTTTCAATAATCTGCCTAGAGGTTATTGTTAAATTTTTCTTTGCTCTCAATGCAATTAGCATATCAGTACTTGTTGAAGTCTTGGGTGGTGATCAAGTCTTTTCTGATTTTCGACAGAACCAGTTGCTTGATATTTTATACATATCTTTTTAACACCACTAATTGATATTTGATATTTTTCCACATAATGTTTGTTGACTAGGGCCTTTTTTCAATTAACTATATTAAATGAAAGCTACTTTTATTAAATATTTTTTGCAATGAGTAAAAAAAAAAGGTTGCAGTTATATAGATTATGACATAAATAATGTGTAAATAAAACTTTTTTATGTTGAAGTAAAAAAAAAAAAAAAATTAAAACTTCAAAAATTCAAAGATAATCTTATAATCTTATATATATAAATAATCAAAAAACATATAAACCTCAAATGAAAATAATCTTTAAGAAAAGAAGTATCCCAAACAAGATTAGGATGCGCTGGTTGGATGATAGAGCATATCGCATTTGAAATTTTACTAGAAGCTGTGCTGAACACATTTTCGAAGCGATTCTAAATGTTATATAAACTTTTTAATTGAGGATAGAGTATGGATGACAAGTAGTGTATCCTATATTCTGAATCCTGATTCCAATGTATCCTGAAGAATGTATCCTGAAGAATGCATCCTGAAGACAGGTCAATGACCTGAAGACAGGCCAAATATATGCTATCATCTTAAACAAGTTTGATAATGCGCCGTGAAATAAAATTAGTTCAAATAAATTTATTTATTTAATTAATTAATATAAAAAAACTTATCCTGTTCGATTGCATAAAAAAATCAAAAACCTTTTATTGAAAATTTTTGTCATTAATGAATATTTGTATTTGTATGTGCCAATTATCATTGACAATTATCATATACAAGAAAGCAAAACATTTTTTTTTTCCCAAGTTTGAATTGTTTAATTGTTATTTAGTTATAAAACTTATTAGTTATAACATCTCTGGTTTATTTACAATCATTTACAAAAGAAAATTCCAATTTGTGATAAAAATTTAAAGAATTTTTAGTATACCATGACGCAAACAAAGTTTTAGAAGTAATGCAGCTTGTATGTACTTAAAGTCATACTTTAGATATCTATAATCTTCATATTTTAACTTGAAGAATACCTGAAGATGCATGCAAGATTCATACATCTTGTGTAACAATGCAAGAGTGCATCTCTCAGTTGATGAACATACACCAGGCTCTGCAATATTTTCAACTCTCTGCAATAAGCTATTTTAAAAATTAAAACAAAAATTTCAAAAAAATTTTAAACAATAAAATTATTATGATAATCAAGACAAAAAAAAAGGAATATACCCTTTAAATATGGTTGCAGTTAACTCACTAGAATTAAGAATGCACTTGAAGTATTTATGGATTATTGCAATAACAATAAGAAGTTTTGAAGGCTCGCAATGCTGCAAAAGTATACCATCTTGTTGGCTAAAATATGTATTTTCTTGGCGAGCAACAAAAAAACCAAGAAAATCTAACAACTCTTGTATGTTTCCAGCCATCTCTAACAAGTCAAAAAGTAGTAAAAGTTGTTGTGAACTTGGAAATTCAGAGATGATTCCATACTTAGATGGAAAAGCTTGTTTCATTTTTTTAACAGTTTCAGAAATGGATGTTGATATACTGAATTGATCAAAATGTGACAAAGTTAAGAAGTCTCTAAAATCAGTAAAAAAAAAGTTTAGTAAAAAATAACTTTTTAGTATTTATTCCTGATAAAAAAAAATTTATGCTTAATGTTTAAAATGTTTATCCAATGATTAAAATGTTTACCCAAATAATTCTGATTTTTTCTCTTGATTCCCTCCGTTCAACACATCTAACAGCTGTTTCCTTATTGATTCAACTTTCAACTTTTCTTTGTGAAGCATTTTACCAACACCCAGTAGTAAAACCATTCTCTGATTAATTTCGTGTTTTTCTCCATTTGGTATTGGAAAGTGCAAAACATACAAAGCATTTGCTTCAGCGCTTGAAAGAGAAGTAGTCTTTTTGGAAGTAGATAGTTCTGAAGTAGATGATAAATTAAACAGCTGCGGAGCTGCTAAATAAAAAAAGCTTTAGGTACTCAAGTTGTTTAATAATTCTTGAATTTAAAAAGTTAACAAAAATACTTATTTTACAAACAACCAGTTTAAATTTCACAATTTAATAGGTTAATTGATGTTGCAAGGTTAATACATAATAGTAGATTAAAAAATGTTACAAAGTTTACAAATGATTCAAAATTACAAATACTACTAGATTAACAAATATTACTAAGTAAACAAATGGTGCAAAGTTAAGAAATATTTCTTGACTAAAAAAAGTTACTTGGTTAACAAAGTTGCTAAGCAATACTTTTGAATGTTGCATTACGGATGCAACTTCTTATTTTGATATATTTTTTAGCTTTAAGTATTTCAAGTATCAACATTTATTATCTAGCTAACAACTATCAACATTTTGTTATCTAGCTAACAACTATCAACATTTTGTTATCTAGCTAACAACTATCAACATTTTGTTATCTAGCTAACAACTATCAACATTTTGTTATAAAGTGATAGTACATAAAAAAAAAAACATATCTAAAACAAAATATCATTGTACTAGTTTCTTTTGACATAATAATCCACAACTTAGGCTCTAAAAATATCTTATCACATAACTAAAACCATCCTGATTCAGACCACTATCTCTACGCATACAATCATAATTCAAATCACCTAAATTAAACCTCTGAGTATATCTGCTGTATAATAAGCATAACATTCTTATTGAAATCACGTTTACTTTAAAGAAATTTTTTATCATTCCAAATATGATCATGACAATTTTTTGTTTTCATGCTATTTCTAATTGTTAGATAATAAATATTAAAAATTTACTTTTGCGCTATAAATACTTTTAAAGTGGGGAAGTCTAATGCTAATATTGAAAATGCTAATATTTACTCAGAGTCATTAATTTAAAAAACTTTATCAAAATAAAGAGTTGTAACCAAAAATAAAAGTAACAAACATAAAGAAAAGGTTTCGTCAAAATATATTATTAAAATCTTTTCAAATGCCAAGTTTACTAAGATAGCAATAATAAAAATAATAATACTTATCATATTTTAAAGATTGTTCAACTAAATAAAGTTATTAAAAGAATGAAAAAAAATTGTTTAATGATATGGAACTTTATATTCAAACAGAAAATTTTGACATTCAAACAGAAGATTTTGACATTCAAACAGAAGATTTTGACATTCAAACAGAAGATTTTGACATTCAAACAGAAGATTTTGACATTCAAACAGAAAATTTTGACATTCAAACAGAAAATTTTGACATTCAAACAGAAGATTTTGACATTCAAACAGAAGATTTTGACATTCAAACAGAAGATTTTGACATTCAAACAGAAGATTTTTTCAATCTTTATGTTACATTAAAAAGTACTAAAATCTGTTGTTCTGAATTTTATATTCGAATACAAAAACGATCAATACAAAAATTGGACAATACAAAAATGTTTCAATGTTGAATTTAAATAGTAACTATGGTAACTAATACAAAAGTAATTAAAGTTAATATTTTACCAGCTTCAAATACAGGATTATCATTAAGAATACTATGCATAAAATCTGCATCTAAATCAAAATTTGATGTGGACCCGTCGTAATCATGATCACTTAAACTTGGATTGCGATAATCACCTCCATGCTATAATTTTAAAACAATAAGTATAAAACATTGTGAATTTAAACAGTATTTATAAAATTATAACTTAAAAATAGAACCAAGTTTTGGCTTATGCTTTTTTGGTTTTTGTTTTATATATTCTGATTCACCCCTAACAAGGCTGCAAGCAGCCACTATTAAATTGGGAGTTACTAGAAAAAAAAGAATAGAGTTATAGAGCAAGGAAACAGTTGACAGAAGACTTGAAAAGTTAAAGGTTGTATAAGTCAGTAAAGAGTTTTTAGAGCATGCAGGGACAGATACAATAAACAAATGAGACTTTACTGAAGGGCGAGTCAAGCAAGAACAAGCTTTAGTTGATGAAACTAGAGATGATAGCTCCTTTGAACAGCAATATGATAGTATTTGTAGAAAAGAAAAAGAGATGCAACTTTACGACGATGGAAAAGAGGTTCAAGCTTAACAGATAGAGCAGGCCTATTTATGTTTACAATGCGTTTTTAGACTTTGTCTAGAAAAGAAAGAGCATCATTAGAAGAACTAACCCAAATATGAAAGCAGTATTACATGCAGGGATGAATAAAAAATTGTAGAGGTAAAGAATGGAATCAGGAGTAAGAAAACGTTGAGTATGATAAAGAGAAGCAACCTTAGTGGATGCTACTTTAGCAATTGATTGTATATATGGTTTCCATGAAAGATTAATAGTAAACGATAATCCAAAAAAAAAAAAGGGACTCAGTGAGAGGGTTGCCATTTATTAAAATAGTAATGCCAACATTACTACGATAGTTATTTGTAGTAAATAACTGAGTTTTGTTAAAGTTAAGAAATAAAACATAAATAAAATCAGATTCAAGATCAGCTGCATGTTCAATTGAAAAGAGAAGACTTTTTGAAAAGCAATTGAAAAGAGAAGACGTTTTGTCAAGGCAGGAGTATAAAGTTGAGTCATCAGCAAAAGGAGCTACTTTAGATGTAACATTGTCGGGAAGATCATTAATGTAGATAAGAAACAAAACAGGACCAAGGATAGAACTTTAAGGTACCCCAGAAGTTACAGAATATGAAGAAAAGTGTTGGCCTTCGAGAGTGACTATAATAAAGCAGTTAGAAAAAAGCAATATGATAATCTCAAAAACTTTCCCAGATATAATTATATCCCAGATATAATTATATCTGGGATATAATTATATCTGGTACATTAAGCTCAGTACCATATAAAGCAAGCTTATGGAGAAGATCAGCATGTCAAACTTTGTCAAAAGCTTTATATATCAAGAGATATAACCCTAGCATTGCTAACTCCATTTAACGCACTATAGAATTTTTCAATCACAATATTTACCAAGTCAGCGGTAGAGCAAGAGAATCAAAAACCATATTGACTATCTGACAGTAAGTTTGACTCAAGATGGGATATAAGAAATTTATATAAGAAAGATGGGATATAAGAAATTTATATAAGAAAGATGGGATATAAGAAAGGCTCAAAGACCTTGCAAGTAACAGAAATTATACAAATCAGACAATAATTGGAGAGATCAGAATGTTAAATACAGTTTTTGAAAATCAGAACAACAGGTGTCATTTTCCATTAGGCAGGAATACAAGAATCAGTCAAGCACTTATTAAATTGTTGAGAGAAAATTGAAGAGACTAGAGAACAATTGTGTTAGACTATAACAGAAATATTGTCTGGACCACAAGCCATAGAAGAATTTTATTGAGATATGACTTTAGCAACAGAAGCTGAAGTGTTTAGGTTTTAATTTTACTTAGTTTATGTCAAAATCAATTTTCAACCAATCAGAAATTATATTTTAAAAATTAAAAGATTTTTCACCCATCAGAAATTATAAACATCAAGATTATAAATATAAATTTATATCTAAATTTAAATTTGTAAGCAATAAAATTTTGAAAAAAAATTAAAAATTGAAATTTTAAATTTTTAAAATACCTAAATATTAATTAACATTTTTGCATAAATTGGAGTAGATTTTAGTGTTCTGAGCATCATAAGAATCATAAAAATCATACCTCACTTTTACTTTTGCTGATATCTAACCCATAAACTTTGCTGATTATCTCTGGTTTTAAAATTGCTTGAGAAACCATTGAGCATAAAAATTTGTCATGACTGAAAACATTATAGCGAATTAGTTCACAGAACAAGAAAACTAATGATTTAAAAGAATCTTCAAAATGAACTTGAGAAACATCTAAAAACCAAATTTATATTGTTAATGGTTATTTATAAGTAAGTAATAATTTTTCTTTATTGTATAAAATTGTTTATTTAAGAATGAAATATAGTTAAACATTAGATAATATATTATACAAATAATATCACCTATAACATAAAAAAAATATTTTCATTAATTTATTAAATGTGAAATGTTTTTATCGCTAATGGAGTCTCATTATTGTCTTCGAAACTTAATAACTGTGTATCTCCACACACCCAGGCTTTACAACTTTACACCACACACACTCAGGTTTTTTAATTTTACACCACACAGACCCAGGCTTTACTATTTTTTAAAATAATTTCCTTCAAAAATTTAAAAAACTCTTCATAATTTGTAACTTCCTACATAGCATGAGCTTAATGTACCACCACTTGGTATTGTTGGTGGTAAAGCTTCTAATGTTACAACTTATTTCTAAAGTTTTCATGCCATGCTCTCTCAATTCTAAAAAAATATATGTAAACAAAGAAAACAAAGACTCACCAATGTCTCTGGAGAATTCATCTAAGAATTTGATCAATGTTTTATGAATGGGATAAATAGTTTCACAGGTTTGGTTATATTCCGAGTTAAACTAAAATTGTCATAACATAATAATTAAAGATATATATATATATATATATATATATATATATATATATATATATATATATATATATATATATATATATATATATATATATATATATATATATATATTGGAGGAATTAAATCGTTAATAGTTTATTTCACTTTTTTATGCAAGTTTAATTTTATTTTATTAATTTTTTCAAATTCAAAATGGGAAAAGGAACAGAAATAAGTTCTCTTGTAAAAAAAAAAAATCAAATCAAGTCTTAAATTCTGTCAAATCAAAAAAATTTTATACAAAATGTACAAAAAAGGAACAAGTCAATCCAAAATTTTAATGAAAAAGAGGAAAATTTGGTGGTAAGAATGTCCAAATTTTCCTTTTTCATTAAAAATTTTAATTTAAAATTTTGAAAGATCTAAGAAAATCTGCTGTGACCTTAAATGGCGAAATAATTTAGTTAAATGAAAAGTTTAATCAAATTAAATGCTTTGTGTCAACCACCAAGTGTTTTTTTCATAAGGTTTCTTGTTTGGGAGAAGACCAGTAAAGAAACCACTTATTTCTGTAAAGAACCATAAAACTCTAATTGACTTCGCAAAAAAACACTTAGATTAGACACTAAATCAGTAGGCAAAAAAGAGCACGGAGCGATGAATCTAAGTTCATACTATTTGGATCAAATGTAATTAAGTATGTTTGACATCCTGTAAGTGAGAGATTCAATCAGAAGTACCAACTTCCAACTCTTAAACATGGTGGTAGAAATACTAGGGTTTAGGCTTGCTTCAATAATGGATCAGCATGTGTATAAGGAGATCATTAATGATAAAATGCTGTCAAGCTAAGGATAAAAAGCCATGAGGATGGGTATTTCAACAAGAAAATGATCCAAAGCATACTGTAGTCTTTGTTAAGAATTTTTTTGCAAGAAAAAAAATGTGCGTTTTGGAGTGGCCATCACAAAATCCTGATATCAATCCAATTTAGTATTTATGGGAACACCTAGATTGTCAATTAAAAGTTTGAAAACCAAAAATTAAAAATGATTTATTCAATTTCATTTAATCAGAATGATTGACAATTCCATTAGATTTATAGCTAGGCTTGTAGATTCTATGCGATATCATTGCCTGTCACATAATTATAATGCCGCATCATTACCTATCCCATAATTATAATGCTGCATCATTGCCAGGCATTGACTCTAAAGATTATTCAAGAAATCTTTTGAAACGTTTTGAAATCTCATTTTTAAAACCATATATGTTAATTTTAATTAATAAAACTACAAGTGTCCTTAAACTTTTAAACCGCAGAGTTTTTTAATTAGATAATTAAGTGTTATTTTGAATGTTTTTATTTCCAGATAAATAATATTATTGGCTATATTCAGTGAAAATTTCTAAAATATTAAATGTGTCATTCAAAATTTATAGCAAAATAAGTTACTGTCTTTAAATTTTACGGTGCTACTGTAAAATACAAATATCATTTAGTAACAATGAAATGATACATTAACTTTTAACATTTTCAATACTTATGCATAAAAAGTGTTGTTGTTTTTTACAAATAAGTCAATTAGTAGCAAATATGACTTATGACTATTTTTTTTATGAGTTTGACAATTTTTAAAACTTTACGATGCCACTCTTGACTATGTGATATGTGACGATGTAAAACCAAATCAAAAATCTACAATCGAACTCGCAACTTTAAACAAGTAAACAAGCTCATTTAGTAATCAAATGGAATTTTCTAGTTGCCCAAAAACCTGGCCACACCTTTTCAAGCAAGAAATTTATTTACTACAAATCAATAAAAAAAAGAGCTAGAAAAAATCAATTGGGAAAACTTCCTTAAAAACTCAAATGCACATGAAAGCTAAGGTAAATTACTTAACTTATACTTTGATCTATGCGAAAAATTCATTCCAAAAAAAAGAATAAATTTAACGACAAAAGGAGTGACATGGGTGACCAATAAAATAAGAAAATTATCTCAACTTAAGACAACGCTGTGAAAACAAAACATAGCCTCAAAATGGAAAAAAAATAAACTTGTAAAGGGATATGGCAATGCGAGTAGAGATATAAGAAAAGCATCATAAAAAAACAAGAAAAAACTATGAGTTCAATTTAGCAAACAACAAAAAAAATCCTAAAAACTCTTTTCATATATAAACAGCAAATTAAAAATATCTATTTTATTACAAGCGCTCAAATTTGAAAGCGGTGAACTAAAAAACAGTAAAAAGGACATAGCCGATATATTAAATCACCAATTCGAGTCTGTCTTTAGTAAAAAAATACAACGTACAAATTAACAAACTTGACCATAGAACAAATAAGAGGATAGACAACATAAATACCACGACAGGCAAAGTAGAAAGTTTACTACTTCAAATTGATGAAAACAAATCGCAAAGCAGATAGCATTCACCCATTATTTCTAAAAGCACTTGTCGCCAAACTCGCCAAGCCACTATCGATCATATTTAATGTATCATTGTGTTCAGGAGAAATACCAACAGCATGGCTAGACGCAAACATAACGCCAATATTTAAAAAAGGAAACACAACAGATTCTATAGAAACTATAGACCAATCAGCTTGACTTTGGTCCCATGCAAAATTATGGAGAAAATAGTTAAAAATGAATTTATCAACTACTTCACGAAAAACAACCTTTTTTGTAGCGAACAACAATAAATCATGTACGATAAACCTTCTGGAAACTATGGACAAAAAAATACCACTAGATATCCTATTTCTCAATTTTTCATGTGCATTTGATTTAGTACAGCATACTAGGCTTATTGAAAAACTGAGCAAATATGGAATAACAGGTCAACTGCTTGCATGGATTCACTCATTTTTAACAAATCAATGACGGCAAGTTGTTCAAGGCAACACAACATCAGTGTCTAGTGGTGTTGTCCAAGAATCTGTGCTAGGACCAATTCTATTTGCCAAATTCATTAACGACCTCCCAGACAACATTAACTCTTCCTGCAAAATGTTTGCGGACGACACTAAATTAATAGCACCAATCCAAGATTGAACACGCATAGATTGAACAACATAGTTATGAAGAAAGGCTTATCAAACTCAACCTAACTAGTCTTACTTTGCGTCGATAAAGGGGAGACGTCATTCAACAATTTAAAATATTAAAAAAAATAGTCAAAGTGAAATGGTGTGTACCAACAATCACAAGAGAGCCAAGAGCTGGTTGTATAGGACAACTGAGAAAAGAATTAGTCCGTAACAGCGTACTGCGAAGCAATTTCTTCAGAAATCATGAACTGTTGGAACTCACTATCCGCTATACATAGAACACAGAAACACTCAACGCATTCAAAAATCGGCTGGATAACCTACAGCATAGTTGCTGCAAGGTTAATAAAAATGGCTTAGCACATTATCTCATTGTGATTTTAACGTCATAAAATTATCTTTAATTTTATATTTTATTTATGGACATTAACCTTTTCAAATTACCGCAATAAAATAAACTACTGCAAAACAAATTTACTTTACTAATTAAGAAAAATAAACTTAGAAGTATTACTTTGTAAATGTACTGTGGAATGTCTATTTTGTTTCAATTTTTTTTGTTTTAATAATTAAATTTAAATAACTTTTTTAATCAAAACTTTTTCCTTAATTATAATAAAATTTCTGTTTTCACTCTTTTGATATTGCACAATCTGTTGATTATATAAAACTGATGTAACTATTATAAAATGTTTTCTGAACTATTATTTTTTATATAAATATAAATATTATTATTTTATAAATATAAACATTTTTCTGAACTATTAATTTATAAATATAAACAAAGACATTGTAAGAGTTATATTACTTTAAGTGTAAATACTTGTAATAATTAATTAAATAAAAAACATCTTCTATAGATACAACTCTGTTATTGATTTTTCAATAAAATATATTAAGAGACTTTAGATAACTCGTTATTAAATATATTTGAGGAGGAGATTTGAGGACCTGCAAAACCAGACAAATCCACTCCTACCATTTTACATGCATTTAGTGCCCCAAGCATCGTGAGCATGTTCTACGCATCTTCAAATAGGTCAGATGTGCATAACAGACAGGTCTTTGAGATAAAGCATAATGAAATTGATTTCTGCAGAATTAGTGAAAAATGTTTTTTATTTTTCTCATTTTCCCATAATTTTTTCAGAGTGAACTTGTCTGGTTTTGCAGGTTCACTCCTCATTTATACTTGATAACGTTATCAAGCAAATTTTATCTTCATAATGAGAGTCATAAACTTTGAGATCTAAACTCCCTAGAAATATTTTCAAAAACTAATAATAGAGTTATATCCATGGAAAAAGTTTTTATTTAATTAGAAAAAAATAAAATCTTTATAAGAAGTCATTTAAAAATGTTTAATAGTTAATGTTTTTTTTATTTTTTTTGATAAAATCAATCATTATAACAAAACCAACAAAAAAAATTAAAATATCACAAGTCGCGCTAATATAAAATAAAACATGTACTATTTTTTAGCTAATTATTTTTGTTGTTGTTTTTTTTTTTTTTTAAATTTGGTAATTATATTTGTTATTATTTGTTATGAGAAATAGTCTAAATAAATCTTGTGCTTGCAAGATGATAAAAAAAAGTTTTTTTTCATTAAATTTCTTAAACGATTTCTTTTTTTACGCGTAATCTAAAATTTTTTTTTTCTTTTTGTTGAACATTTTTTATGGAAAAGTTAGGTTAATAAAAATAAAAATCTCTTTGTTTCTTCTTAACTTATTACATTTGTAAAATATCAAATGTATTTGTCATTGAAACTTTTTTACGTAATTTGTCATTCAAACTTTATAAACGGTTTTTATTAAAGGGATCCCCAACTGTTGAGACAAGTTGTGTTCATATTTAAGAAAATGTTAACAAAAAATTTGGGCTAAACTTTTTTGATTAAGTCTTTATAATGAATGCACACCATTAAATTTAAAATTCACGTTTTAGTCGAAGCTTGCCGTCTCCATTTTTTGGTTCTTGGTGTCTGTATAATGTTGGCGGCAATCTGCAGATTTGTTAATTTATTCTATGCGTGTTTAATTCATAACAGTTTCGGACAATCTGAAAGATATCTTGCAATGCCATCGCCATCGCATAAATTTTTTCTTTCAAAATGTCGTATTATTTATTTGCCAAAATCATCAAATCATGTTTATGATTTGGTGATTTTGGCAAAAAAAGTTTATGATGCAATTAAAAATTAAATTTATAAAAATAAAAATTTAATATATAACAAATATTTACAGTAAATGTAGTGATTTAAACTAAACATAAACTAGAAACTAAAAGCATAATAAAATTTTTAACACACATCATTCAACAATAAGAAATGCAAAGTGCTTAAAACTATTGTTTTTGTAAGTAGTAACTAAAACATTAAGTCCAAAACAAACCTCATTTAATGAATAAAAATAATATTTTTTCTTCAAAATACTTTGTTGATTACTTAACTAAATACTTAACACTTCTACAAGTTAAGTTTTACAGTGTTAACGCTGTTTTTTTTTTATAACTAAATCTAAAGTTTTTTTATGAAGGATTATTCAAGATTTTTTAACTTTGTGATAATTACACAACACAGCTCTTATTTTTTCTAGATTATGTAGAGAATTAATTGAACTTCAGAACAAACAAATTCTATGTGTCTAGAATGGAAATTTATGTACAAAACAAGATAAATTGTAATGCATGCTCAAAAGCCGCTACCTGTGGCTTGCGATAGTGAAAGAGTTAAACCATAACTAAATGTAAATTAAACATAAAACAAACAACTCTATTGAACCATATAAACTAAATATAAAACAAAAAATCGCATCATACTGTCTTTATTTTTTCTCTGCCTGCAAACTCTAATAATGACAAAATATGTATAATTGTGTCATGATTTTGGCTGGCTTCTACAACAATGTAGAAGTATAAAAAAATTATAAATATATATATATATATATATATATATATATATATATATATATATATATATATATATATATATATATATATATATATATATATATATATATATATATATATATATATATATATATATATATATATATATATATATATATATATTTAAGCAGTAAGATAAAAGAAGTAAAAGTGTGTTCACATTAAAGAAAATGTTTCAAAAAAACATTTGGGTTATTTTTTTTGAAACATTTTCTTTAATGTGAACACACTTTTACTTCTATTCTAAAAACACTATTCAAACTGGTAACTTTAACAAACTGGCAAGCTTCGACTGAAACACTAATTTTAATTTTGTTGGTATGCATTCATTATTTAGTTTGAATCAAAAAATATAACCCAAATGTTTTTTTGAAACATTTTCTTTAATGTGAACACACTTTTACTTCTATTCTAAAAACACTATTCAAACTGGTAACTTTATTCAAAAATTTTAAATTTAAAATTTTAAAGTTTAAAAAATTTTCAAACTCAGAAAAAAATAGTCATAAGTTATATGCTCAAAAAAAAAATTTTTTAACTATGGTCATACTTTTTTAATTATGTATGTGTTTCTTAATTTAATAACAGTAGCAGCAATCAAAGGTCTATGAATTCCAAATCTTCTTTTGTTTGTACTCCAATTACATAATAAAAGAATTGTATTTTCATCTGTTGCTGTTTGCAAGTTCTAAAAATATATAGAAACTATGTATTATTATGAAATATAGGTCTTTTTTTTTGGCTAACCTCTTTAAAAAAAACATCAATTCTAAACTTTTTATAAACTTCAAAAATAAACAGACTTTATAAACATAAATATCACTAAGATAAGTTAAAATTTGGACAATTATAATTGAATTGAAACCAAAAACTTTAAAAAAAGTTTTTTCACATAAGAGATCTATTGTGCTTATATATTTTTTAAAAATTGTTAGAAGTGATAAAAAAATAAAAAATAATTTTTTTCAGTCATTCAAGCTTTAACAATTTTAGGTTAACAACAAGATTCAAAATCCTCCAAATTTCAACCAATAATAATGATTTAAAATTTCAACCAATAATAATTCAACTTCATAAGTGATACTTTTCTTACTTGCTTTTTTGATCACATTTGATCATGTTTTACAATCATTTTATTTTATGTTAATTATTTTGATTTATTTCATGTTTAAATATATTTATAACCAGCCATGCGGATTCCTAAAAGAACTTTAAATCTCTATTTTTTTCTTGGACTCTGGTGCCCAGGAGCTCTAAAAATGTTGAGTGACTTATACTTATATCTGCAGGAAGAAAAAAATTCATTAGATTTAATGACTTAGAAAATATCATATTTAGCCCAGAGTCACAAAGTCTGATGTATAATCAAGACTCGAAAGGATTTGACTTTCAAATCCTTTCGAGTCTTGATTATACAAAAAGTACACAAGATTTTACTGAACATTTTTACCTGCTGTTTTTATTTTTTTTCCTGCTCTTTTTCTACTTTTGTCTGTTGTGTTTTTTCTAACCTTAATTTTCCTTTTCTTTTTGTCTAAACTCAATCTTCTTTTTCTTTAAAAAGAACATTGAGGTTAGATAAAAACTTTATAAAGTAGTAAAAAACTTTTCATTTTATTTTTATCATTTATAATATAGTTTATGAACATATAATTCACAATATAATTGACTTAGTCCAATTCAAATGTTAAGATTGTTGAGATAGAGTATTGTAAATAAAAAATTGTTTTTGCATTGATATGTGATTTTGTTAGAATTAATTGATGTTGGTAATATACCTTAATAACAACTAAAAAAGAAAATCACTAAATAAATAAATTCTTTAATTTAAAAATAAATAATTACTATATCATCAGTATTAAGGTCTTCAGAAAACAATAATTTATAAAGCTTTTCTCCAGTTCCAACAGACTCAGAACAACTAAAGTTAGTTTCGTCTAACACATCAAGCAACAACATGCTCTCGTCAGCTAAAATTCAAAATTTAAATACATACATATAATATATATATATATATATATATATATATATATATATATATATATATATATATATATATATATATATAATATATAATATATAATATATAATATATAATATATATATATATATATTATATATATATATATATATATATATATATATATATATATATATATATATATATATATATATATATATATATATATATATATATATATATATATATATATATATATATATATATATATATATATATATATATATATATATATATTATAACATATATAGATCAGAAAATACTTACTAGTTTTGCATACGGCTTTTTCAGAAAAAGAAGAAAAAACTAAGAAAAATGAAAGAAAAGATTGCTGCCCAATTCCAAACCCTCAGTCAATGTAGCAGCACTTCTTTGAGGCAAATAAATCGATGTATGTACTGAAGTAACTTATATATAAATAATTATGAATTGAACATAAAATTATATATATACATTAATCTCAATTTTATATCAACTTAAAAAACCTAAAAAATTGAAAGTACTAAATTGAAATGTACTACATTCAAGTTATAAATTTGATTACTTCAAAAATTTCAATCATGATCAGATGTTAAGAAATCAAACAGACTGACCTACATAAACAATGAATTGTTTGGTCTATATCCTGATTTTAAAAAATTATTTTTTAGGGAATAGGGGCACACTTTCTCCCATTCCCTGTAAAATTGATATCTGCAATTTTTCTTTGATAATTTTTTTGTTCTTCTTTTTTAAACAAAAATACTATTCATTGATATTTTTCAAGGTTTGAAAAATATCAATGAAAAAAAATATATATTGGTGTTAAAAACTTTAGTTTCATTGACACCAATCAGTGACGTATCCAGGAATTTTGGGGCATACCGGTCTAAAAATTCTATCTTTCTTGATAGGTTGTTTTTTTTTAGTTTAAACACAAATTTTTATATAATTATTTATTGTTATATAACTCGCGCTAGTATTTTAAGCTTTTCCTATTAAAAGTGTACACAATTAACTAAAATATTGATAATTCATTTACATGCTTTATTCACTTCCTAATATAAAGAGTATTATTTCATAAACAAGCGATAATTATAACATTTAATAAACAATATTTGTATGTTTCTCTCATGCAGACTTCAAAAGATTACATAGCGTATTTATTGCATAACAAGGTCAATTCATTCAAAATTTTAATTAATTCATTTAAAAATTAATAAGATTTTTTTCTTGTTCTACTCTTACTTTTCAAATCATATTTTTTGGCTAGATTATTATAATGTTATTATGCTTTAAAAACTTGTATTTGTTTATTATCTAAAATATTTTTAATGCAATTTTACTGTTATTTGAAATTAAAAAGTTTAAAGCTTATATAATTTAATCGCTTTGAAAATTGTATTTAGTAAACATAAGCGGATGAGAAACTCAAATTAGTGTATTTTTTATTCCATATTTCATCAACGTTAATTCGAATAAAGCATTCTGATTGACTTAAAATAGATTTAAAATGTTTTTTAAAAGACATTTTTGAAATGTTGCTTTTTCCAATGGACATTACCAATGTAGCAAATTTTATTATCATAATTATCATAGCAAGTTTTCTCACAAAACAGCAAGACAATAAGTAATAAAAAATTATTTTATTTTATTTTTATGGGTGCTAATATAAACTTGTTTTAAATTGAGTTTGGGCTTAAATTTGGGGGCCCATACTGGTATACCGGTATCATAAATCAGCCTGGATACGTCGCTGCCAATATATAAAAAAATAATTGGTGTTTATGAATTTGCACATCACAACATATTAAAAACTTTGGTCAGTTTTTTAACTTCTGAGTCTAGAGTGAATCATGGAGAGCTTTAGAAAAGAACGGAATTAAAATATTCTACCAATAGAATTTTGTAAATAGAATATTCTACCAATAGAATTTATCTAATTTATATAATATATTAGGAAAATATCAGAGCTTATGAAAGCTTAAAGTACAAGTTTATACGTATTTTATTTTTTAAATATATCTTAATTATATTTAATGTCTTGTACATTAAAATTTATGTATAATGTTATATGTGTTAAGAAACACATTTTATTTTAATCTAATCTGTCATTATTTTAAGATAATCTGTAAAGTCCTTGTAAAGTCATTGGAGATTTTAAATGTTAAAATGTAAGCATCAAAATAATTTTGAAGAAATGTAATATTAAAATATTCCTCTAAAATTTTTGAAATACGAAGAGGGCAAGATTGCAAACAGAAAAAACAGTATGTTGTCTTTAAAGGTCTGTTTATGAATCTTTTATATTATGCAATTAAAGTTTTTGAAGTAATCAAATTTTAAATTTTCTCCCATATTTCTAATTATTCTTACTTTATTTTCTTATTTCTCCATGAACTTATTAAAAATTATATAAACTTAAAAAAGTTTATTAAAAATACATAATATAAACATACAAGTTCTCATATTATTATACTCCGATGATCTCCATCTTTGCTCAACTAAAATGCTTCTTTGTAAAATGGTGTTTTCTTTTTCTTCCAAACTCATAACTGCCTTAAAATAGAAACAAAAAACTGTAACAATTACTTTATAATCAAAATAAAATATGAATAAAAAACTGAGTATGAGTAATTAAATGAAAATGAAGCATGAAAAATAAAAATGAGCAATGAACTGAAAATAAAACATGATTAATGAAAATAGTGTAAGAGTGATATATACTTTTTGGTTTTATATAATCATCAATAACTTGAGAAATACTTGCTGATCCCAGAAAAAATTTTCAAAAAATTCGAATGCAGTTGTTTTCTTGTCAGAAAAGTATTCAAGAGGAAGGATTTGAAAGAAAAAAATTCAGAAGCAATTATTGATGGATAATTAAAAGCAAATTGTTGTGAAAACTTAATTATAGAGAACAACAAAATATATATATATCATATATCATACAGAAAGGTTTTCTCTGAAGATGGCAAGCAATTTGCTAAATGTGGCCTGAGCGCTTAATTAGTCACTCAAAAGACTTTGACTTTTGATTTGTGACCAAATGTCATAGAAAGATGTTTTGCCATTTATTATCAAACATAGCAAGGCAGTTATCTTTTGGCCGGATTTGACAATGATCCACTAATTGGCCAGATTTGACAATGACCCACGGATTTGACAATGATTTGACACGGATTTGACAATGACCCACGGATTTGACAACTCCAAGAAGACAACAGAGTAGTACAATCAAAATAATATCAAAATTGTCCCAAAATCCGGATTTGACAATGACCCACTACTAGACAACAGAGACTACTCCACTTTGATATTGCCGGATTTGACAATGACCCACTACTAGACAACAGAGACTACTCCACTTTGACAATGCCGGATTTGACAATGACCCACTACTAGACAACAGAGACTACTCCACTTTGACAATGCCGGATTTGACAATGACCCACTACTAGACAACAGAGACTACTCCACTTTGACAATGCCGGATTTGACAATGACCCACTACTAGACAACAGAGACTACTCCACTTTGACAATGCTGGATTTGACAATGACCCACTACTAGACAACAGAGACTACTCCACTTTGACAATGCCGGATTTGACAATGACCCACTACTAGACAACAGAGACTACTCCAAGAAGACAACAGAGTAGTACAATCAAAATAATATTCCATTTGGGACAAAAATTGTCCCAAAATCCTCTAAACCGCCCGGAGTGTGTAATCAAGAGTTATTGGGCACTTGTGAATGGAATCTTGTTGAAAAGCAACAGTTCAACAAAATATGACAAAGAATTTAAGCAAAGATGGATAGCAACATCAAAAATAGTCACTGAAAGCAAGATCCAGGCCATGATAGCACCTATTTTAAAAAAAAATAACATTTTAAGTGTCCTGTAAAATCTTTATAAAATTATTAAAAACTTAAAATGATACAATAAAATTAATTTTAAAAAAGATCTGGTTAAACATTTCTATAGTTATTGCTAGTTATATATAACCGGAAAGTTTTGAACCTAACTTTTTTACTTTGGAATATTTAAATTATCTTTTAATACCATTTATATGACATTTATTCAGAAAGTTATAAAAATAAGCACTTAACTACAATTGTAAATTTTTTTGTTAAAGAAAATTTTAAATAAATTTTTTAAAATTAAAATTAAATTAAATTAAAATTTAAAAGACTTAATTAAATATAATTTTACAAATTTAATTTAGTTTTGAAGGAATATAAAATAGTTAATAGAATGTAGAATAAAAAATTTATTTTCAAAGGAATATAAAATAGTAATATTTATTTAAAGAAGAATTTTTTTTTAATTACCTGCTAACTAATTCATTATGTAAAACATAAGTCATCATAGATTAAAATATGTAAAGAAAATTATTTTCACAAATGTAATGTTAAATTAGAAGATGATGATGACACAAGAAGACGCTCTTTTCAAAGGTCAAGAGGCCAAACTCATGATAAAGTTAGTGTTTATCTCCAAAACCCTTGCATCTCACACTGTCAACTCTATGTTGCTTGTTAAAAAACAAGATTGTATAAAGAAGTTAAAAAAAAAGTCTGTTTGCTTTTATATAAAAAACCAGATCGTTTGATCATTTGTTTTTGCAAGTTGTTAAACATTTATTACGAGGTATGTCATTAAACAAATATTAAAAAAATAAGGTTGTATTTGTAAAGTTTCTAATTTATATATTTATTTATATTTGTGTATTATTTATTATGTGTTTATATGTGTTAAGGTTATATGGGTTTATACTTTGCAAGTGTGTAAATATCTTTTATATATGAGTGTTTCTAATTTTGTGATATAATGTTATTTGCTTATAGTTTGTAAGTGGGTATTATGTTGTTTGCATGGTTTCAAATTGTTGTGACTTGGGTTAGTTTACAGCAAGAGTGTTGCCCTTGCTAGCCAACTGGTGTACTTTGCTATGTGAATTGGCTTTATTGGGAGCGAGATTGTTGTCCATGCCAGTTAAGTGGTGTACTGTCATGATGAAACACATAAATTAAATCTGTTTATAAATAGTGTAGTCATAAAAAGTGTTGAAAAAATACTGTTGAAAAAATATTGTTGAAAGAATGTGTTTATAAGTTGAAAAGATATATACTTTTTTAATACCTATAATTTGTTTAATATTTATAGTTTTAGGTAAATTTTATTGAACAGATTTATACTTTTTTAAATATTTTTTATACTGGTAATTTTTGAGTAAACTCCTATAAAAGATATATACTCCGTTAACATTTTTTAGTAACTTTAATTACATTTTTTAGGATTTTTTGTATAGAGAAAGTTTTCTCCATAATAATATTTTAATGTTTTATATATTGACCCTTTTTCTTTAGAATTTTAAAAATATAAAAAAAAATTGAAACAGATCAAGAAGTTTCAATATTTTTAAATCTCTTCACTTAAAGCTATATGATTGTTTATAAAGGTTTTCTATTAATAGCTTTGTATTTAATTAATAAAGTAATGAAAGGGATTTTTTGACGAAAGATTACATTTTACCATTTAATGGTAGCTGTATTTGGTGAGCAGACAGCCCTTTTTTAAAAAATTAAAAAAAAAATTCAATTTGCTTTATTTATGAGTTCTTATCTATAAATATTTTGCAATTTTTGTTAATCACTTTTTATTGTTGTTTTGATCAAAAAATAATAATATTTTGTCAATAATTATTAATAACTACATTAAATGATGAAAACCCACGAATTGTCCGCTAAATAATTATAATCCTAAGGTAGCATTGTCATTTAGAATGGATCAACCTGGTAATTATGATTTTCATACAACCAATTCTATGTAGCATGTTCTAAAACCAAGTCATTTGCATTACACATGCATAACAAGTCATTTGCATAACACCAGCATAACATTTACATATACACATACATGAACAAGGTATGTCATTGAATGAAAATTTCACGTTATATTTGTAAATGTTTTTAATTTATAGTTTTTGACAAGTATTTTTATGTGTCATATGATGTGTTAATGTGTGTTTTTGTTATGTGTTATATGGCTGTATGGGTTTATATTTTGTTTTTAGTGTTTGTCTATGTGTGTGCTGTCAGTAGTTAAAATATGAACTATAAACTCTGGATAACTCAATAACCCTTAACTTAAACTAATTTTAAAATTTCATTTGAGCCTTTATTTATGGATTATACTGCCAATAACTCTAGCATTCTCTAACAACTAATTACTTGGTCCTCTTTAAAGTTTGAGTGATTTAGAGTTTACTGTAATGTGTTGAGTTATTTTTTAATTTTGTGATGTTATTGTTGTGTTGTTTTGTGTTGATAGATTAGATGACTTGACTTTCACGTCAGAGTCTTTAATTTAAAATGATTATTGGGTAGTTTCATTAATGAAACTGACTACATAAAATCATTCACTAAAAGATAAAGATTCAGCTTTCAAATAAAAAACAAAGGTATATCTAATTGTGATCATTTATTTTTAACCTTTAAAAAGAGTTGTTAATTCAAACTTGCAACAATAAATCTTGAAACTTTCACAAAAGATAAACAACCTCACAAAGTAATTTTCTTATTTGTTATCTGTTTAGTCACATTTTTGAGTTTTCAAATAAATAACAAATAATGTGTATTAAGTGTATTCAATAATAATTTTGTTCCATTTTTAGGTCAAATTCCTTCTCCTATGACTGATTTTAAAAGTTCCTACATAGCAGAATTTAAGAAATGTTCTGATTGTTGATTGTATTCAAAAAGCTAAAACGAAGCTTGATAATTTTCATACCATTTACTAAAAGAAATATAATAATGAAAGAATGTTTCAAATTAAATTGTTTTTATAAGTATTTTTGAAGAAAAAAATTTTTTAGTTTTTTTTTTAAGTTTATTTTTTTATTTTATCTCAAGAAAATTTTTTCATTTGTTTCTTAAATAAATTTCAATATTTTCTATCATAGGAATTATTGTTTTGAATGGATATATTGGCTATTTTTGCTTTGATTATTATATTTCCGTTATCTTTTTATATGTGAATGGGAACCATTTATACTTTTATCATCTTTTGTACAATCAAGACAGTTTCCATTTGCATTAAGTATAAATTGCATAAACAACAGTTTTTAAAATTTATTTGCCTAATTCTGCAGTAAAAACATCTTAATTGTATGAATTTGTTAAGAGCTTTTTTTTAAAGAAAGGGTTTTATAAAAAATATCAAACAGATAAAGCCAACTTATTTGAAATAACTAGGTCTCTTGGACCCATTTTTCAATGTCCAAATTTGCTTTTTAAATAAATCCTTATGAGATAGTTAAAATTATTATTATAGCCTAAGTTTCCAAAAATACCTGAAGAAATGTTATGCAACTTTTGGAGTTAGAGGGGGCACTAAACCACTGTCTTTACCATCCAATAAATGCAAATTTCATCCATAAAAGTGTGTATTTAAATGAAGCAATAGGTTTTTTCATACAAAAAGTTGTTATTATGTTTTATAAGCTAAAGATAGTTTTAATTTGTAGATAATTTTAAAGTAAAAAAGTAATGAAATAAGTAAAATAAGTAATGTAATAAAAAATGTAATAAGTAAATATAATAGTTCTAAAGTATAGTAAATTAAAAAATAACCAAAAAACAAGAACTTTAGGTAGTCATTAAAATCCAAACTGCGTACTTTTTAGGGAACCAAGACATTTTAATGAGCTCAACAGTTATGATATATAAAACATGCTCATCAATTTTTTAAGTTAAATATAATGGTATTTTATATATTTTATTTAAACTGTTTTCTTACACTATATTAGACTGTTTTCTTGTATTATATTAGACTGTTTTCTTATATTATATTAGACTGTTTTCTTATATTATATTAGACTGTTTTCTTTTAAATTTTAATTGAACAAGCAATAGATTTATTGTTCGCAAAAAAGTTTGCATTTTACTAACTACCAGAACTTTAAATTGATTTATTTTTTGCCGTTTACTAAAATAAATTGAAGTATAAAGACAAAATTAGGAACAAGTTTAGAAATAGTTGTGTGTGGATTAGATTTACTACGACCCGTATTGTACGGGTCATGACAGCTAGTTTTTTATTAATTCAACAATGTGTAAAGCTTTTTTGACATTTATTTATGAACATAAATTAAATTTAAGAATACATTATTGCTGCAAATAAGAATTCTATAATATCTTTTTGCATGTACAAATAATGACTTCTAAAAAACAAATAAGTTGTGATAAATGAAAAAATATATATGAAAAGATTATGTATAAGTATAAGATTGTTTTAAGAAATAAATTATAAGAAAATGTAATCTTTTCAAATACCGAATAAACTAATATGACAAAAATTACTAATTTATATATATATATATATATATATTTATATATATATATATCAAACTATATATATACATATATATCATATGTATCAAACTATATATATACATATATATATAATTATATATTATATAATTATATTTTATAATTATATATTATATAAATTTATATATATATATATATATATATATATATATATATATATATATATATATATATATATATATCAAACTATATATATACATATATATCATATGTATCAAACTATATATATACATATATATATAATTGAAGAAAAATACCTCCTCCTGAAACTTTTTTTCTTCAGCATCATCAAGGTTATCTGTGTTAAATAAAGCACTAGGTGATACTATTAGCTTGTCAAGTGGTGATCCAACAACTTGTTCTTTACCAGGCTCTTTAACAATACTATAAATTAATGATGCTGGACAACGCAAAGTTATTGCTTGAATAATTCCAGACAAAATTGTAATGATGGTACTATGTTGATTGCAATTTTTGTATGCACTCATCATTGGGTGTCTAGAGGGTCAAAAAGCTCAACTCCTTTATTTTGAGAGAATTTATAAACTGATAAAAAGTAAATCGATTAATCTTCAGAATATAAAAACTAATTAAATTGTTAAATGATATAAATAAATTTACATAAAAAATTTAAAACACTGATAATTTAAACAAGTTTATTTACAATTATTAATTTAGTTTTTTTCCTTGAATAATTATGAATGATTACTATATATTTATGATTATGTATTTTATCTTATAAATTTTTCAAATCTATAAATAAAACTCAAACCTAAACTTTTTTCATAACTTTTTTAATGAAACTAATTTAAAACATTGTTTAATATTGTTCATTTGGGATTTGGAAGTTTCATAATTACTTCAAATAAGTTAAAAAAAAATTTTACATTTTGCTTAAACTTTCCTCTCCACATTTTAACAGCACCGTAGATGAGCTGAGATCGTTTAACTTTAGAATACAATGACTTGCTAATAGACGAGCCAGAATTTGACTTTTCAAAATTGTTTCCAAATGCTGATTATGTAAAAGTAAAAAAAGATATTATTATAATACAATGGTTATAATTTTTATATAAAAAGCAAGACCAGAATAAAATAATATTTTTTTTTTGCTTTTAATTTAAAGACTGCCTGCCCAAAATGAAACTAATAGTTCATGTATGTCTATGCAATATGAATTTACTTTGCTGGGCCTATGGCTACATCATTCAATTTATCTACACTTATCGTAAAAACAAAAATAAAGAAAAAAACAAAAATAAGAGTTAAAAGATATAAATTAATATTAAAAAAAAATTCACCAAGAAATATAAGATATGTCATTAAAGTTACTTTTGCAGTTTTTTAAAAACAATAAAATTTAATGTACTTTCAAAACTATTTTAATGGTTTTAGGTGACATTAAAATGTTGTTTTAACATTAACATAACAAAATAGGTATATTTAAGAGACTTATTTTACTGTTTTTATTATCTTATGTTTTGTATACTATTTGAAAGTATATTATTGTTCTTATGTGCAATTATTGTACAATAAATGTGCAATATAAAAAACTTATCTGTTGTAAATAATGGTATTTTTATCATAATGTTCTCATATAAGAAAATTAATTAACAATCAATTGAAAGTATTAATTGTGTATACATCTATACATTGTTTTATCTTGGCACACTTTTTTATATCTTGGCATAACTTAAATTAAAAAACAATGAACACTATTTTTTTTAATATATGCATAGATCATCCAGACCATATTTTAAAAATCCGGAAAATTGTTTGGGTTAAATATCCGGAATAAATCCGAAATATATTTCCCTCTTAATTTTGCTTTTAATTGAATTGTTTCTAATTTTTTTTTCAAACTTTTCTTAGTTTTGTATGAGTGATGAGTGAAAAAAGCTTCAAAAAGAAGAATAAAAAAATATTCACCTAAACTGGTATGTATGGAAAACGTTTTGGATATCCGGAAAAACTTTAAGTTGAGAAAAATATCCAGAATTCCAGAAATATCCGGAAAAAGATAATCTCTGTATATGGCAAAACAAATATAATCCTTTAATCCAAAATATCAACAAGAATGTGTAAAATAGTTAAACAGATAGAGAAAATGAAATGACTTCTGAAGAAATCAAGGAATAGTATTCTATTTCAACTGGAGGAGCAAGAAAAATCTATGAAAAGTATAACAATAAAAACACATGGCAATACAATCTATAGGTTGAAAACCAGTAATATATGAGCATGAAACTGCAAAAAAGAGCAAAGATTACCATTGATTGCTGTTTTTATTAACAATATAAAAATCTAACTAAAAATCAAAGCCAACAAACATTTTTCATCACATTAAAAACTGTTTGTTACACACTAATGTAATTTTAATGAGATTTCATAATGCCAATTTCTAATTTAAATGATAATATGGATGAATTTAAGTAATTTTTTACAATCACATTCCTTTTTTGATATTAACCAGTTTTTTAAATCAGGACTGAGTATTTTTATCGATAATACCATTTTATTAGATGATGCCATTTATATATCATCATCTTGAATGGTACCATTTATGCATCATCATCTTGGATGGTACCATTTACAATTTACAAGCTCCTACTCTTCTCCTATCCTTCAAGCTTCTCCTTCCCTTAACAACATCTAAATTAGAGGTTTCATATCAATGTTTTCTTTCTCCAAAGTGAGTTACTTTCACCACAGTTAAGGAGTCTCACCTGTCCCATATAAAGCATGAGTGATCTGGATATATTATACATGCATATTATACACAAATGAGTAATATATATAAAAGGTATATTTATATGTTAACAGCATTAAAAATTAAATGAACTTTAAATGAACTTTAAATTAAATTTAAATTGAAGTAAATTTAAAAAAAAAAATTCACATTTCATAAGCTTTTCTTTTAAAATATTTCTTTTGTTAGAATTTTTTATTTATTAAATTTAATTAATGATTAATAATTTAGTACTAATTTTACTATATTACACAACTTGAAACTTACTCGAAGAATTAAAGGTAGAATATATTTAAGCAATGTATCGTCTTTATTTGATTTGAATTTATCAATTAACTCCACCATCCAATTGAAAAACTCATGCTTGTCAAGGAGCTCCTCCTAATAGAGTCAAAACTAATGAATTTTTAAAAGTTAATGCTTTACACAATTAATATCACACCATAATGTTTTCATGTAAAATATTAAAATAATTTGATTAAAAAATATCACTGCACTCACATCACTACAAAGTACATCAAAATAGCAAGTAAACACCAAGTACATCAAAATAGCAAGTACACACCAAGTACATCAAAATAGCAAGTACACACTAAGTATATCAAAATTGAAGTAAACACCAAGTACATCAAAATAGCAAAATAATACACCAAAGCCAATGAATCATTTTTCATAAAAACACATGTGAACATACAACACAAAAAGGTACAAATATAACAAATACAAATCCAAGACGAAATTAAAAATGACTCTTGTCCTATATTCTGACCAAGGCACTGATAATGAACAAAATTAACCTACTTCTATCATCCACTCAGCAAGTTGAATAATATATGACCAATTCTTTGATGCAATTTCAATATCTGACTTTTGAGTCATATAAGATTGAATAAACTGCTCTGAGAGCTTCAGTAACTGATCGTGTAAAAACTTGATAATTGCAAATGTCCATTCTAAAAAAAATTCTAGTAAAAATAAATAAATTGTTATAAAATAACAATTATTTATTGTATATTAGGTGTTAATAATAACTTCAAAATTGAATTAGTTAATAAACTTTTTTTGCTTGGTGTCATTATTAACACCAAATTGCATTTTACCCAACAAATAAAAGAGATAAAAGCAAAATCCTATGACAAATTATTCTCAATAACTAATATATTTAGTCTAGCCCAGAGATGTTAACAAGGCCAAAAATTGCAAGGCTAAAGTCAAGACCAAGGTCACATGTTCCAAGACCAAGGCCAAAATTTTCAAGGTGCAGGCCAAGAGTTACAAGACCAAGACTAGGGCCAAGGGTTTCAAGGTCAAGGACAAAAGTTTCAAGGCCAAGGCCGTTAATTCCAATTGTTAACAAAACTGCAAGTAGCAAGTGCTGTTACAATAAAACCACATACTTGAAATTATACCAAGGTTATGCCCAGAATTCAATGAAATCAGTAAGAAAATATATTTGGAGATAATACAAAACCTAAAAATGAAAATACATTAAAAAAAAAAAACTATTAATTCAGGCAACGAATCAGACATTAGCGATCTATTTTTAGTAAAAAATTTTAAAATCTGAGGTGTATTTTGAGTAGATGTCAAAGCGGTTTCTGGTGTTGTTCTTCTCGTGTTGTTCTTCTTGTGTTGTTCTTGAACAAATTTCAGACAGTTCAATGACAAAACTATCAAAGAAGGATAATTAAACAATGCTTCTTGGATTTTATAAATAAAATTATTAATAAAACTCTATTAAATATACATTACAAACAGATTTTGATAAGTTGAATAAAAAACATAAATAAATAAAAAACTTTATAATAAATTATAATTTAAGCATAATAAAAAATTATTTTAATTTAAAAACTTTAAAAAAACTGTTTTTAATTTTAATAAAAATTCATGTGTAAAAATCTTTTTTAAATTTTGAAAAGTTTTAACTAATAAAAAATGTTAAAAAAAAATCATGTGGCCTAATATATGGATGTCTTAAATTCCCGTTAACCAATCATGTCATTGGTTGTTGTTTTAAAATGGCTTGACAAAAATGCCAATTTAAACTATGACATAAAACACAAACTTAAGTTCTAAAGCTTTAAAGTAAACAAAAATAACTCGTGTAAACTAACTGTAGTAAAATTTTTAAAAATACAAACATGAAAGAAAAATCTGATATTATCAAGAAAATTTTTAAATTATCAATGTTTTAAATTGATAATTTAAAATATGTAAATTTATTTATATCATTTAACAATTTATTTACTTTTTATATTCTGAAGATTCAAAGCTTGTTTATAATTCTTCAAAACATTCATACTACCTAACTTGCTCCAAAAACTTTTATTCATCTAGTTTTTTTCCCCGCACTTCAATCCTTTGGAACTCTCTCCCATCTTCATGTTTTCCTGACTCATACAACCTTCAACTTTTCAAGTCTTCTGTAAACCGTTTCCTTGCTCTATAACTCTGTTCTTTTTTTTCTAGTAACTCCCAACTTAATAGTGGTTGCTTGCAGCCTTGTTGGGAGTGAATGCAAATGAAAAAAAAAAAAAAAAAACTTTGATTACTGCTCAAGTTACTATGTTAGAAAAGAAGTCCTTAGCAATCCTATATGATATTACTATACAGCATATGGCTATATGATATTATTTTTACTGGTCAAAATTAATATTCAAAACAAAGATATATTTTAAATCAATCAACAACTTAATACATACAACCTACAAAGTTATCATTATCACTTTTTCTGTAGAGCGTTACAGCTATGCAACAAAATAATTTATTACAAGAAAAATATAACAAGAAACTGATGAACTTAATCAAACAATTTGATTTTGGTAACCTTGATAACATCAAGTTCAATACTGAAACCAAACTTTTTAAACTTAAAAGTATCCAACAAACATGATGAACAGCCATTTAAGACCTTCTTCAGCAATATAATAAATAAGCATTGCAATAACAACATCAAATTAGCACCAAAAGAATTTAATGATCTATTTTTTATTAACAAAATCAACTCAACTATAACACATACAATTGTTAACAACATTTTGATGTCAACAAAAACAGATTAAATAACTATATTGACTTTTACATAAGCAAAAAAATTAGAAAAAAAAACATTAAACTTTTTTAAAATCTCATGTACTGCTGGAGCGGTATGGGTTCCCAAAGAAAAGCATACAAAAAAATTTATTATTTGTTGCTTTTTTTATTAGGAAAAAAAGTTTTAGTTTCAAATGCAGACGTAAAAGACTAATTCTATGTTTATTTTACCAATTTCATTTTTCCTTCAGAACAATAAAATAAATTAAAAAATAATTAGGTGCCTTGTAGTTTAATTACTAAATGAATATTAAAAAATAAATTAAAACTATTTATATTATTATTATGAAACTCAATTTAAAAATAATGGAATGTGAAATATGAAAAAAAAAAATTTTTTTTAAAGAATTGATTTTGAAGTATTCATGAAGAGTAATGTTAACTTTGCTTGTTGGCAATAAAGAGTTAATTGTTTTAATAATTAAGTAAATAATTATGTAAGTAAAAATTTCAGTTTTAATTACAACAATTGCACAAATTTTTGAATAAATGAACTTTTAATCTTTAGGTCGCTATTTTATTTTACTTTAGGAAAACAAAAAAATGAAAAAAAACTTTTTTCAGAAATTTTTTTAATCATTAAGTTTACCATACTTATTTCTTTCATTGAAAAGGTGCCGAAAAAAAGTAGTTTACCTAAATGATATTAGTATAATTATATATAAATATATATATATATATATATATATATATATATATATATATATATATATATATATATATATATATATATATATATATATATATATATATATATATATATATATATATATATATATATATATATATTTATATGTATTTATATATATTTATATATATATATATATATATATATATATATATATATATATATATATATATATATATACATACAAATAATCGAATAATATTAAATGTATTTATTAAATAGAGTGCTCATTATTTTTAAAAAAATTAACAAATAAAAAATTAGTAGAAATCACTTTTCAATTTTTTTATTTTACACAAAGATTCACCAATAAAGCAGAGTTGCTAGTTCTTGCTCTTGGCCTTGGCCTAGACTAAGACCAAAAATCAAGGCTTTAACCTTTCAACTCTTGATCGGGCCTTGAAAATTTTGGCCTTGGAGTCTACTATAGAATATATAGATTAGAAATTGCTTACTCTTTATGATTATTATTATAGCATACAGTTTTTTTTTTATTCACTCGCCTATAGTATAAATAATAAATGAAGTATAGGTATTAGATATTCATTCCAAAAAATTGCAATAAACTGTGATATGGATCAATATTACCTGGATATGGATCAATATTAACACGTTTTTTCATTTTGCTTTCAGCAGTAGCAACTTGATGGGCATAGGTTATCTAACAAAAAATCTTTGTAAAAACTAAACATTTACTATAATATAAAAAATTAAAAATTTTATTTAAAAAATATTTATATATTTATTAGATTATTATTTATCTTTATTATGCTATACCTTTATGAACCAAGTTGCTTTTAACATAGGGACCCCAAATTCTGCAAGACACAAAAAGATTTCTTCCTTTTTGTTAAATATAGGAACCTAAAATAAAACCTTTTATTAATGATTAGATAAAAGATTTGACAACCTTAGTAACTCTAGCTACTAGTAATTCTAGCTACAAAATACAAGATGCCTAATATCTTCCTTATAGTTGCTCATAGACATAAGTAACATTTTGAATTAAATTTAAATTAGGAATTAATCAGGATCATCAAAAATATCCTGTTTTTTGGTAACATGTAATCTAGTACAACCTAACATACGTCCTGTTGCTTTGTAGAACTTGCTTTAATAAGCCAAGGCTAGAACAAGTTAACTCTGATTTTAAATATAGCTCTGCCTTGAGGCTTTTAGTTATGTTGAGCATAAAAATGGCTTTATGCTCAACCTATTATTACAGAATATTAACAGCACTATGTTGCCTATGAATAGTTGCCCATGATTACCTGTTTTTGGTGTGCATTATTGAGGCACATTGTTTTAACATTTAAGCAGGAATGAGGCAAGTGTATAGCTTATCATTGAATATATAGTTTATTACTGGATGATGTGTTGAGGAAGTGAAGGGTGAAGTGTCAAGTTATCTTAAATTTTAAAACATAGCTGTGGTACCTAAAATTTATAACCATTTGTGGCCTTAAAAGTGACTTTTTTTCTGTTGAATCTCACCTTTTTCAAAATTCACTAGATCTACTTGCCTTTGGGAGACTAATTTAAATTCAATAGTTTCAACTTCAGATCTGGGTGATAATGGGTATTATACTTTGACTTGTTAAGACTCTAACAGTTACATGCTTACCCAGGGCATATTCTTACAAATCAAATCACTAACTTGTCATAAAATCAGGTTTGAATCCTTGTTATTTTTTGTGCTTTCAATTAGCATCTATTTTTCAATTGCTTTTATCTTTGTTTTTTATCTTCCTCCTTCTTCTCAATACTGTTTTTATCTTCCTCCTTCTTCAAGACTACAAGCTTTACAAGGTTACGGTGGATCAAGTTGACTAAGTCCTTTTTCTTAATCTATTAATTAATACTTTTGTTATTGGTGAATTCAATAGAAATCACGCTGAATAGATAGTACTAGAGGTATTTTTAGTACCCGATATTTTGCCGGATATGCCAGATATTGAACTTTTCTAAAGTTCTATAAGTGTTTATGAAGAAAAAACAAGTCTTGCCAGTCTACATTAAATAGTATTCAAGATCTTACTTTAAAAAATCAAGAGAAAAACTGTATGACATATCCCATATATGTGCTGACGAAGTATAGAAAATAGTAACTAAAAAAAATAAAAAACTTGGCTGTAAAAACGATTTTTCCTTATACATTATTAACGCATATACATGTGTTATACCAGTTTTTTATTGATTTTATTTTTTTAAATCTTGAACACTATTTAATATAGAATGGCAAGGCTTGTTTTTTCTTCATAAACACTTATAGAACTTTAGAAAAGTTCAATATCCGGTACACTTCTAGATAGTACCACTGAAATTACGGATTCTAAAGCTGAAAATTTTTTTTTTTTCCCTCCACTTTTTTCACCTATTTTTCAGATATTTAACTTTGTGACTTATTTCCAGACAATCCACTTAGCTTCACTCTATGATTTGTGCCTTGTGTGTGACCCAACCTTGTGCTCAGTTTTTTCTTTGAGTGTATTGAGGCCATGCTAAATTCACTTGAACTTTTATCTAGTAAGGTTTTTATACCAGACTAACCTCATCATCACACTTTATACTATTCAAATAAAGTTAACTGAAATTCATTTTGTAATTTTCTTGGGCTGATGTCTTTGTCTCTTTGCTAAAAATGTGCCTTCTATGTAATCTCCTGGATTCAGGCAGACCTAAAAGATTTTATAACCTTTTTTTTAAGTCAACCCTCACTTTGTCCCTCTATCACTTTAACCCTCACTTTATCCCAAAGTTTTTTTCTTTTATGTGCAGCTGCTTAATCATTATCATTTTTTTTTACTTTTGTGATATTAATATTCAAATTAAATGTATTACTTGTGGTTAATCTGTTGTTTTAATAGACAAATATATAACTTGATAAACACCAATAACTTAAGGATCATAAAATTAAAAGGTAAAATTAGCTGAAATCACTATTAAAATAAACTTACAAATACTATTGAAAGAGTACTCGTTTTCTGATAATATCCCAACCCTGAAGGTGGTTGGATACTTGCTACTTTATTTCAAAGAAGCTACTTAAAACTATTATTTTCCATTATCAATCCATTATTTTCAGATTACTTAATCTTATATTTAATCTCAGAGGCAAATTCTTTAATATATCTACTACTTTGTTGTAATTCCTTAGTACAGTGTTGTTTCTTATTTATATTAACAATCTCGCTGACAATCGTGTATTACAGACGTAAAACCGCTAAAGTGGCTATTTGATAACGACACATCTATATACTTAAATCTTGACAAAAAAAATTCTTAATAAGATCTCTTAGAAGAGAGATCAGATTTAAGTTTTAATCAGCTTGAATCTGATTACAAACGTAAATCTGATCTCTTTTCTATAACAGCTTGGAGCTAACAGTAGCTGGTGAATTTTAACCAGGGTTGCAAAAAAACATTTTTTAAAAAAAAACCAAAAACCATTGTTTTTTTAGTTTTAACTCCTTTTTTTTTTTTTTTAAAATAAGCCATTTTTAATCAATTTTTTCAAATAAAAAAAAGCATTCGTCATTTTACTTGAGTAAATTATATTTTCTATTAACATTACTGCTGTAATTCATCTACCAATACATCATTATTTCATGTTCTGTATATAAAAACAAGCTTTGCCGCTTTTTCTACTCCCATCTTCTTTCTTAACTTAGAATGAACAAGCCTTAAAATTGAGAAAGTTCTTTCAATTACAGCACTAGAAACTGGTGCATTTAACAAACCTTCAATATCCATGATATTTCAGTTCAATATCCATGAAGAGTAATGTCCATGATGGACATTACTCTTCAATATCCACGATGTTGATGTGAGGCCTTAATTGTTGTTAGCATACTTTTTATTTTGTGATTTATAAGTTTTTTTTCTGGTAATGTAATTGTTGTACATTTTCGTTCATATTGGTATTTATAAAACAATTTTTTATTTTTATTTTTTTATTGAGTATTGTTTTTGGTGTATGTCTTATTTATTTTTAAATATTTCTCTATTAATCTTTATTTTTGTCTTGACAACTGTCAAAATATGCTTTGTTTAATAAATAATTCTCGTTTATTCTAATGTATTTCATTTCTTCCCTCAGACGTTCACTGCTCGTGTGTGACCATTCGGCAAATTTTATATGCCAAAGTTTTTAAATATTATCCATGATGCAGTTCAAAGATTGTAGAGATTTCTACCATTCTGTACATTTTTTTAAACAGATTCACTATACAAATAGCTTTTACCGGGTGGAGCAGATTTGGCTTTCAACTTAAATATATTGGTAACAAGTTCTTAATTTCTTTATCTGCAAAGGTTGTTGCAGCTTTATTTTCATTTTCAGAAAGGTTAGATCCAAAATATCTAGGATCTAGCGTGTTTGCAAGGAAATGACCATCACTGACAGTCTGAAGATATCTAGTTTCCAATATTTACTTTTTTTAAATTGATAAAAATGATAACATCAATAATCAGCTCTTTAAAAATTTCAACAGCGTCACTTAATTTTGTTTGATCTCTTTGCAACTTATTTAAAGCAACTTCAATTGGTTTTAATATTTTCAACAAGTATTCTGCATTATGCTTTAACTGTATGTCACTTACTTTTCTACCGATCCTGGGATCCAAGTCTCCAGTTATTTACATATTTTTAAAGTGAATCACATACAGAATTCTAGCATGTTTCAATAGGAAATGGTAATTTTGTTCCTCCACTTTCGCTTTAATATGTTCCAGCTTAATGATTATTTCATATATACTTTATTATCTGTGTAACATGCTCACATTTTCAATGTTAAGATCATTTGCTAAAAGATTTAGCATATAAGCGGCACAGCCATAAGTTATTATTATATCTCCTTCAGAAATCCTGGTTTACTTTCCAGACAAAAATTTAAAGTTGTTTAAAAAAAATTAGTTCGGTTTAAATTGATTTTTTTTTTCGATCGGTTTAAACCATGGTTTAAACCATTGGTTTAATCTACCTACCAACCTATCAACCCTGATTCTAACTCATTTAAAACTTATAATACTTATTTACAGATAATAATTATCACAGCATTGTTGAAATTTCTATATTGATGAATGACATAACTCTCACTAAGTCCTCTACTTTAAAGCTTCTCAGATTATCTTTCACTACTGACTGAATGGAAACCACATTTACAATCCACTGCAGAGTTAGCTTCTGCTACGGTTGCCTCTATTGTGCTTACTATTGTCCAGCTCATGACTCCATTCTCTACCACTACAAATCTCTCATCTGTCCTTGTATGAAATACTATTATTATATTTGGACTGGCTCTTCTAATAATTTCTTTTCTCTTTTGGACCTCCTATTTTTTGTTTATTATTTTTTGTGTTTTATTATAGCTGAGTTATATTTATTTTGTGTATTTTATTATAGTTTAGTTATATTTATTTTTTATGTTTTAGTTCTAGTTTTAGTTCTTTTTAGTTTTAGATTTTTTCTTTTTTTAAATAAAGTTTTTTTAAAAGTTTTTTTTTTTTAGTCAAGTTTAGATAAATTTTTTCAGCGCATTTTTAAAATGTGTCATAGAGTAATGTTTAAAAAAAATATTTTCCAGTTTTTTCTTATTTCCATAAAAAGATAGAATGAGTAAAGTTTATTGATGATGTAATCAAAGAACAAAAATGCGTGGCTTTCTGAGTGGAAAAAATCTCATTTATATAACGTTTGTAAAACACTAGTTTTACTCCAATATAAGATTTGATTGATTTTTCTTCAAAATTACACATAAACAGATTGACAAGTACAAGTGCTAATGGAGATTCTATTGCAACACCATCAGTTTGGTCATAAAACTATCATTTAAAGTGAAAATGTGTGTCCTTCAAAATGAAAATGTGAAAAGAAAGAGTTTTTTTAAATTACTTATGTTGATTTTAAGATTTATAAATTTTTTTATAATAACATTGACACCAATATCTATTATTTCTTAAAATGAAATGTTGGCGAATAAGATGGTTATCAAGATACAAGTTGATATCAAGATACAAAAATATTTTGTATCTTTTGATATCACTTTTTTACTTCTTTAACATAGAAGAAAAAATCTTTAAACAGAATTCACATTAATGAAGATAATAAATCTCGAAAGAAATCAAATAAGTGCTATAAGTACCAATACAACAGGTCAGATATTTAATATATACTATGATCAGAGGACCTTAATTTGTGCATTTTCAGGAGGTCGTCCATGCATTTGTGCATTTTCAGGAGGTCGTATATGCAAGCAGATCAATAATCTTTAGGATAAATTTTATCATAATTTGAATCATCAAAGAAACCTTGACTTTTGAGCAGGACAAGAATCTTAAGAAGTTTGGAAGTTGTTTAATTAAAGTTTTCTATTAATGGTGATGTCTTTTTTAAAGTGTTTAAATTTAGATGGTTCATTATATTGGTACATCTGAGTTTAAATGTTTAGGTGGAATTGAGAAATTTAAACCATTTTTAAGATTGTCTGACTCATCATACAAAAGTTTATACTAAGAACAATTTATTTTGATATTGGAAGCTTTTAATAAAATAATGCTACCATTTGTTAAATTTTCTAACTTTTTTCCGTGAATTTTTATAAATTTTTTTAATGAAGATAAATTAACTTTAAAATTGGCTTCAATTAGATTAATTTCTTTGCAAAATTGTAGTTTCTCCTTGTTGTGTCTAGCCATTGCACTGTGTAATAATCTTTTCTATATTAAACACGAATCCAATTTAAAAGCATCAGGTAATTTAAAACACAAAATCTTTGGTAGAACTCCAAAAGTTTTACAGCTATTCAAAAACTTAATATCTAAATTAGCTTTTTTTAAATATAATTTTTTACCACAGGACTTTTTTTCTTTTGTTTTTTTAAAGCTCCCAGAGAAGCTACTTTCCTTAAACTATCATTATTTTTAAAGAACCAGATAGAAACAAAAATGTAAATAATAATAAAAAATAACAATGTCAAAAACAAAAATGCATCAACAATGAGAAATTATGTAAAGTTTAAAAAATAAACGAGAAGAACCTTAACAACATTCATTTAAAAAAATAAATGAGAAGAACCTTAACAACATTCATTTAAAAAAATAAACGAGAAGAACCTTAACAACATTCATTTAAAAAAATAAACGAGAAGAACCTTAACAACATTCATTTAAAAAAATAAAAAAGAAGAACTTTAACAACATTTATTAAAAAAAAAGTCAATTTTGCAAAGGCAAAATGTTACAAAGAAGATTTTCGAAAACTATACATGCATTTTTTACATTCAAAATTTAAGTGATGAGTAAATAATTTCATGCTCAAAGAAGACTTTTTGTTATTGATTGGTTGTTGCCATAAAATTACAATGTTATAGATGCTGTAATACTCCAAAATAATGTATATGTCAAGAATATAAATCACTCTTTGCTATTATATTTATTAAGAATATTAGCGTACCCTGTGTTAAAAAAATTTTTAAGTTGCTTAAAGGAGCAGGGAGGGGGAGCTATCATCTCTAGTTCCACTAACTTTTATTCATCTAGTTTTTTCCCCTGCACTTTAACCTTTTAGAATGCTCCCCTGTCTTCATGTTTTCCTGACTCATGCAACCTACAACTTTTCAAGTCTTCTGTCAACAGTTTCCTTGCTCTACAACTTTACTCTACTCTACTTTTTTTCTATAAACTCCAAACTTAATATTGGTTGCTTGCAGCCTTGTTGGGAGTGAATCAGAATTAAAAAATAATAATAATAATAATAATAAGTAATTAATTAACAGAAATCATTAAATTAGGTCTCATGCATAACAATAAAATTAGACCTTAATCTGGAAAAAGCAAACTTTTGGGACTTAGTTCTAACATTAAATGTTGAAAAAATATTATTTGTCAGTTTAAAATAAAAAATATCAAAATTGTCATTGATTTAAGAAATAATAAGTTGAATTTACAACAGAAATCTAACAATAATAAAAAAATGAAAGTTCAACTCTTGTTTATTACACAAAAAATGAATGAAAATATGCAGATAAAAGATTTTATTTGTTTGTGGTTTTTTTTTTTGTTTTTTTTTTGTTAATTTAATAAGCAATAATTAATTTTATTTTTTAATTGTGTAATTGCAGTAATAGCAATAATTATTTCCTTAAATTTAAATATAATTTATTTCCTTATAATAATATATTTCCTTATAATAAATGCACTATTTTATTATTTATAAACATTGTTTATAAAAAAAATTAAGCAATTATTAAATGATTTCTGTGAATGCAATAACACTAAGGTACAAGAAAAAATTTTCATTAAATAACAATTTTCTTTATTCTTAAAAAAAAAATCTAAGTTCTTCTTCACGCAAAGGTAAACGATATAACTATCAAATGCATTATAAATGAATTTTAACATGGCTGATACCAATTAAAAAACCGTTTGTTTAAAGATTTGCTTACGGGCCTTTCTTCCTCATTCACAGTCTTCCTCATGCATTGTTAAACTCTTAGGTACAAGCTTTATGGTATATTTGAAAACTTCTAACATATGACAGAAAATATATGTAGCTGTTTAAAAGGTTCATCATGGGTATTAAGGCTCACTGGATCTCAGATCTTGAATGTTGAATATCACTGGATTTCAGATCTTGTACGCTCGTTGCAAAAGATTTAAAGGATGTCATACATTTAACACAATTGTAGTGCAAGTCATAAACATAGATCCGGACTTTGGGTTTGATCAACAAACAAAGCTAAACTTTTTAAACCAAGTTTTTGTTTTTGCATTTGAACTTTTTATTTTATAGGGCTTTTCTTTGTTCAAGAAATTTAATGCGTAAAAGCTAATTTCTATTTATGAAAGAAAAAAACCTGGGCCCATAAAATAAATCACCCCATAAAAAAATATTTAAAAAATTACCAAATTAAGTAAAAGATTAACAAAATATGACACTAAAAATTATTTTTAAACTGATAAAAAAAAATAAAAGATCTTAATCTTGATAGATTGTAAGACGTCTGATTTAATATTTGCCTCTATGAAATATAAAATTAACCTTTTTTGCAAGTAGACTCAATGGTTTATTAGCTGCTAAGTCTGTCATCCAAGATGTTACTTGAGACTTGTTTCTTGCAGTCACCTTTAAACAAAAATAGAATTATATTTGTATATATATATATATATATATATATATATATATATATATATATATATATATATATATATATATATATATATATATATGTATCAATAAAAAGATAAAAAAAAACATTTTTTAATAAATGCTTTAATAAATAAATGCTTTAATTTAAAAGCTTTGATAAAAATAATAAAATAGGCTTTTAAATAAAGTAGGAAACATGGAAACATGGGTCGACATGTTGAAGTTTTAAATATTTGGTTTGAAGAGAAGATTGTTTGCCTGAAGAAAAGTTGTGAAATGTATGATAAACCAACATGTATTATCATTTAAAAAAATACATTTTTAAAAAGTTATACTATATTTCAGATAGTTAGATTAATAGGAAGTCATTCATTTTATTAGAAGGAAACCGTATAAAGCTTAATTTCAAAACATTGAATAAGTTATTTGACTGAGTTAGAGAACGATCAAATAGTGAAGAAAATGATTTGGCCTTCCCAGCCATCAGATCTTTTCATTTGGACTTTTATTGGATTAATTAAAAATATTGTCTAACACTAATGCCTAATGATGCAAAGACGTGGAAAAAACTTAATAGTAAGTGGCATAAAATTGAAAAATTGAATAAGTTTTTAAGAATCCCAAGAAAATGTTTATTGTAGCTAAGCTTGATTAAGTAGGCAAGTAAATTATAAACTAATCTAATAATACTTTTTTTTAATTTTTAGGTAAACTTAATAAATAGGAAGATAACATATAATTTGAAGTTTTTCTCCCAATAGTAAGTAAAATCTTGTTATCTGATAATGAAAAGTAACCAAATGATAAATGACCATTTGAACAAATATGGGCTGTAGTAAAGCCTTTTTAAGGAGACTTGTGTGGTTTTTTGTCTTGTTTTTCCACACATAAGTTATTTATTTAGACATCTTGGTCATGGCTGTTAGTAAGTTTTATTATATTAAGCATTTCAATACTTGGCCAAAAAAACTAAGTTTCAATAACAAAGAAAGCAAAACTAACAAATAGGAAACTTTTTAAACTGTTTACTTTATACACATAATGGTCATTGTTCAAATCCTACCACTATCCAACTTTTTCATTGTTTTTCTTTTAAATCCAGCTGCTCATATATTTGCTTTGTAACCATTTATCTTTTCTTTTTTGTATATAAAAAAACTTTCTGTTTTTATATGATACACATCTCTTCACATTCAGATTTCTTATACAATTTAAGCCTCTCAGTGTACTTTCTAAGTAAGGTATGCACACAACATATACATAGTTTTTAGGCTTTAATTATGCCAATTAATGAATACTTTTTCTTGCCTATAGGCACTACTATTTCTACTATTGAGTTCAGCAATATTATATAATATATAGAAGATATATATATATATATAGATATATATATATATATATATATATATATATATATATATATATATATATATATATATATATATATATATATATATATATATATATATATATTATATAATATTGCTGAACTCAATAGTAGAAATAGTAGTGCCTAAAGGCGAGAAAAAGTATTTCAACACTTAGGCCTAACTTTTAAAGCAGAAAATTATCTTTTATCTCTTTAATTTTCTTATTATTTAGATATAATAAAAATAAATTTTCTACATATCATGTCAGGTAGTAGCTTGATTTTATTTGCTTTTTTGTTTGTTTTTGGTTGAAATTGTTTATTGAAACTCTTTGTAAACTTTTAGAGGCTTTAGATGAAGATTTCTGTACGTAACTTCTATTTTGTTTTATTTGTAAAAAAGTTTTTCAGCACTTAGGCTTTTAGTTGTTTTTATTTGTTTTAGTCATTTATTTGTCATTTATTATTAGTTTTTAAGTTTCCTTATACTTCCCTTACTTCCCTTTTTTATTTTTATTGGAACAACTTTTTTAAGTATTTTTTATTATTTTAATACTGACCAATTTTTAATCTAGTTGTGCAACCCCAACCTAGTAAGATTTTTTTTTCTATTTTTTTAAATATACTCTTTTATAAAAGAGTTTATTTTTTTAAATATACTCTTTTATAAAAGAGTTTATTTTTTTAAATAAACTCTTTTAAATGTTTGTTTTTTTGTGCTGTTGATAACAATTTTACTCAATTCTTTTTTTTTAAATCTATATTTATATTTTAAGTGGAACCAAAACAGCAACCACAATCTGTATTTATATTTTAATATTCTTCGCAACATAATCTAAACATAATCATAACAACCATAATCTGGTAAGATTTTTTTGATTCAATGTATTTAAATATTTTTTTAAATATCCTTTTTTTCATTTGGTGTGCTGTTGATAACAATTTGTTTTTCCTCCTGTCTCCTGATTCCATTCTCTACATCTCTGTTTTTAACCTCTGTATGGAATGTCATATTCGCTGATTATGTATATGGGCTGGTTCTTCTTATGATGAGATAAAGTTCAAAAATGCATTGTAAACATAGTTAGACCCACTCTATCTGCTAAGTTTGAGCCTATTTCCCATGGTCAAAAAGTCGCATCTCTTTCCTTTTCTACAAATACCTACAAAAATTATACAAATGATCTTGTTCATTTTCATTTTGTTTTAAAATAAAATCTGCCTATATAAAATCAGAAAATTAAGATATTTACTGCATAATGTTGATCAGACCTAGGTTTTTCCAGGAAGCTAGAAAGTATAATGTATTGTTAAAAAAATAGTAGCGATTAGGCTAACACTTTTCTTTTATGAAGCAAAAATGTTTAAAAAGAGCTCTTTAGTCACACTCATTGATAAAATTGCAACAGCATGTTATATTGCACATCACTACTACATGTAAATTATTGTTATTTTTTTCCGTGTATGGAATACTGTTGTCATATTTGGTTCTTCTAATTTCTCTTTCTTTCTTTGGTTCTTCTCTTTCTCTTCTAGACAACTTCCAAAAATGCATTGTAAACATAGTTCAGCTCTATCTGCTAAATTTGAGCCTCTCTCCTATAGTCATAAAGTAGCACCTCTTTCTCTAAAAGTCATAAAGTAGCACCTCTTTCTCTTTTCTACTAAAAAATCACTGTTCAAAGGAACTAATATCTCCAGTTCCATCAACATCAACTGGTGTATAACTCTATTATTTTCTTTTTTCTTTAGTAACTCTTAACTTAATAGCGGTTTCTTGCAGCCTTGTTGATAGTGAATCAGAATTTTAAAAAATAATAATAAATATTCTCTATTTTTCATCACAATTGAGACATTTTTCTGGGTTGTGGTCATAAAATTGAGGTTTGTGCTGAAGTAATACTTTATCCATAGATTTTAAATAAAAGCAGTTGAAATATAATAGAAGCCAGGAAATTTTTTTTTGTGTTTTAAAATATTTTTTATAGATTATACATAAAACAACATTAGGTGTACAAAAACTGTAAAAACAACTTCATAAAACAACAGTACAAAAGGTTTAAAAGCATCAAATAAATTGCAATTAATTTTGAACTTAAAAAAATCTTAAATCTTAGAATTCCTTGAATCATACAATGGGAGACACTCATCACTTGAATCAACTTTATTTTCAGAAAAAAAAGGATATTTTGAACTGTGCCAATGGACCTAGTAGATTTTAATAAGTTCTAATACATGATTGTTTTAATTTTAAGAAAATGTTTTATTATTTATGCGTATTACAAGAAAAATTGGAAAGGGGACTATGAAAAGCAATAAAAATTTGTTTTGCTGCTTTTAAAACTATATTCCAAAAACAAAATTTTGAAAATAAACTTAAATTGTGTTATTAATTGAAATAACACCATATTTCATAATATGGGATGATTCTGCTTACTCGGGATGACTTTAAGCCTATAAGCAAAAAATATTTTAGAGAGCCATAAATCATAAAAATTTTGTATTTTAGCTTTTTCTATTGTGTATACAATAAAGATAGAGGTGTTTATTAAGTACCTTTTTACAGTGAGCAGAAAATTTAATGCGGTACAGACATCAAGATGAGCTGACATGTGAGTTTAACTATAGCTTAGAAAAGTTTAACTGCGCAGGACTCAATAAAGAGATTTATTAAGATTATGTTTTCTGCTTGTTGAAATGTGCCCTTCCTCAAACTTAAAGATCACCTGATTTTGCTTTATTTTAATCCAATGTTAAACTCTTTTTTAATCAGAGTCCATTACATGGATCAGAGTATTTTTTTAATTGCCACCCTTTTTTTGCCACCCTTTTTTTGCCACCCCTTTTATTGCCACCCCTTTTTTTGCCACCCTTTTTTTGCCACCCCTTTTATTGCCACCCTTTTTTTGCCACCCCTTTTATTGCCACCCTTTTTTTGCCACCCTTTTTTTGCCACCCTTTTTTTGCCACCCCTTTTATTGCCACCCTTTGATTTCCCCCAATCCCTAAAATCATTGCCTGGTCAAGACAAAGCACCAATATCAGAAATGTGTCTTTGATGTAAGACAATACAATATAGCGCATCTAAAATAATCGATTTAAAATGGTTATATTATTTTAAATCAGTAACCAGAAATCTAAAAAACTAGAAAAGACTTTCTAGTATTTTAGGTTTCTTGTTAAACTCAAAATCTGTTCAAGTAGACATTATTTGTTCAAATAGACATTATTAAACTTCAATCACTTGATGAATTTAATTCCAATTTCTTAAAAGTTAGAATTAAACTATAACTTCAACAATAATAATAAACAAATAAATAAATAAACAAAATATTTAAATACATTAAATAAATAAATGTTCATTAAGGTTAAAATTATACTGACATGCCAAAAATGATCTTTAAGATTCAAAAGAACTTTCTTTCGTGAATCTTGAATTGTATTAATTTTTTGCTTTTGAGAAAGAATTTTGTTAAACTGCGCAGCAAACTAAAAAACAAAAAATTAAAAACTATTTTTATTTTATCCAAAGAAAAAAAGCATCTTATACAAAATTATTTTGAGAAAAAATTAAAAAATAATATAAACTTTACCCGAGATAAATTAACTTGGTACGCTATTTCTTTAGCTGAACCATGCTAAAATTAAAAAAAAGTAGATCTTCAAAACAAAAAAATAATTAAAAAAATAGAAATGACTCTTAAAATATATATGGGATTCATGAAAAGTTCCAAGTTCCATAACTCAAAGCCCATGATACTTGTAAATAAACATTTACTTCTTAAGTAAATGTTTATTTACAACAAAAAACATCTCCCTAAAAAAAGCTGTTAATTTTGGAACTCTAACTTGAATAAATCTATAATTATGAAATTATAACACAAAACTAACTAGTTACAACTACCATATGAGCTTGCGTAACTATCATATGAAATTACATTTGCAATGAAAATACTACTAAAATAAGATTGACAAACTTCAATGTCTTGCATTTTCATAGCATAAAAAATAAAGGATAATCAAATTTAAAGATTGCATACCTCACCATTAACAGCAAGCTTATTGACAAAACCACGTTTAACATTTGATTCACAAAGATCATCCTAATAAGTAAAAAAAACATTTATATAAGAAATAAAAGAGAATAAAAAATACTTGAATAACCTTTAAAGCAGCTTTTTAAAAAGTATTACATTTTTTAATGATAATAAAACAATCATAATAATTGGGAAAAGCACAATTATTGTTTTAATCACAAGCACTGACTTCCTTAATGTTCATAAGTTCTTAATGTCTTTTCAACTTTCCAATTCAAAAATGGCAGTTTCAGCTTTTTGTTTTCAACTATTTTAAACTTGAGTTTTTAAAATTTGTATTTTTATTTTGTTAACTTGTAAATTAGTAAGTATTGAAAGAAAGTAACCATTAGTGTCGTGAATACTATGACGATGCAGTTTTTGCTCTAATTTAACAAAATGGTTTAGTGAATAGCTTTTTAACTTGAAATTAAGAAATAAACAGGATAATTTTAGAATTAATTAAAGAGAGGTTTTATATAAAAATATGGGAGTTTTTATGAAGAGTGCAGTGTAAAAGATAATAAAATTAATAATTTTGTTGTGCTTTCGAACAAAAGTACTGGGGAAAATCAAGCAAAGGATTGCTGCTTTTCTTAAAAATAATAATATCATTACAAAATCAATGATCACTGTTAAGTAAATAGCACCAATACTAAAACAGATAGAACTAACAACATAATCAGATTGTTAGGACATGAAATGGACAAACCTTTGCAGTGTTTTGTATGCCAGTTACATGCAAATGAATTGCCACTGAAGCATTATTTGGAGCATTTGGATTGTGGTACAGCAGCTCCACAAGCATTTACAAGGCTTATAATTTCATGGTTATCTTTGCACAAACATAAATTATTTTGTTTGAGAAAGTCAATGTAGGTTGGAAGAACAGTATTTGTTTGAAATCTGTGAAGTGATGATAATGGGGTGTTTTACTCAAACTTTGGCTAGGCATGGTCTAGGTACTTTGTGTCTTAAATGTTTGTTATCAAGATAATTCTGTTCATCTTTGGTTTACAATTTAGATCATCTTTGGCATTACAATTTAGATTAATTGGCATACATTTTTAGATCGCACTATCAACAAGAGCTATTATAGATCTAGGTAAACAAAGAAATGTTTTGAACCACTAGAAAATATTTTTCTAAGAATGATAATTGAGATAAGAAAGTTTATTCATGTTCTGAATCTTCACAGAGTTATGCAGTAAAACAATTTTTTTTAAAGCTTTTACTTTTTTTCAAAAAGTTTTATCATTTTTTTTAGTTTGTTCATTGCTTTATTTGTTTATGTCTTTATATACATCAAAAGGCTTGAGTGATCATCACATACCTGTATGTTATATTATAGTCATAGTATTTAACTATTCTGGATAGACGGGCCATTGTCTGTAGATTTCATAAAACCATTTCAACCATGGGGTGACCGGACTAAGAGTGCATCAAATATTTTTTAAGTTACATTTTATGAGACAGACTTTAGTAATTTGAATGAATTCGATGTTGTTTAACTGCTATTGAGTTGCTATTTGTTGGAAACAGACCTCAATTTTAGTTCAAATATTAGATTAGGGGTTGTCCATAAATTATGTCATATTTAAGGGGGGCAGTCGATTTTGTGACGCAACATTTTCTTTTTTTTTAGAGAAGACGTTCTTTTAATTAAAAGAGTATCTGACCAAACCAAAACCCTCTAAATTTTAATGTATCTACATGTTGATTGTAAAATTAACTACGCCTAAATCTTACTTATTTTGATTTCTTTTATTCTTAAGAATAAAAGAAATCAAAGATTATTCGTTATCCTATTAGGCTTCAAAATTAATTTAGAAAAACATGATATATTCATTCGAAAACTACTGACAACAAAATGCATCTTCATTATAATGGGACTGATCAAATAAATATATATATATATATATATATATATATATATATATATATATATATATATATATATATACATATATATATATATATATATATATATATATATGTTTAAATTTATTTCAACATATATATATAAAGCACCAACAGTGCCATGTTATGCATGGATGGTGTCCTTGTTCGTACTTTTGGTGGTTATTGTTGAAGCCACATTTTGGAGCTCTTTGTTACAGCAGGGTTTATTATGTAATGAGGCTATTGCTTGGACTATTAAATAGTGTACTGAGTGCAATCTGCGCTTTGAGTCAAGTTCTTTAACAAATTTAAAAATAACTAAAGTACCAAAAGCTATAAAACACAAAAAACCATCATCACTAAACTAAAATCAATCATTCATGATCACAAAAACACAAAAAACCATCATCATCACCAAACTAAAATCAATCATTTGTGATCTTCGAAGTAACTTTTTTTCTGTAGAGTCTTATCTTTTGCAAAGTTCACCAGACCTTTTTGCTCTTTATAGACTAATTTGAGTTCGGCTTTCTCATCTTGTGATCTTAGTGTTGATGGTTATCTTCCTTTAATTTGTAAAGACTCCAACAGTCACATGCTTGGCCTGGGAATTTTCATTCGTAAGAATTCACCCATTAGTTGGGAAACTAGATTTGAATCCAACGACTTTCTCTTTGTTCTATATTGCTTTCCTTCAACTCAAGACTGCACTCTTTTTTATGTTATTTCTGATCAAATTGACCAACCCCTTTCTTTTTATCCATCAGCCAATAAGTTGTTGTTAGTGACTTTGATGCTAATCACACTGAATGACTTAGCTCTAGTGTCAGTGACTCAGCTGGCGTTACGACTTTTGCCTCTCTCAATCTCTAACTCAAATAGTCAATTTTTCAACTCGCTTTCCAGACAACCCAAATAATTTACCTTGTTTACTCAACTTACTCGTCTTGTTTCTGATACTAGTCAGTGCTCAGTTTCTCCACATTCACCCTTAAATGCTTCTGATCACGATTTGATCTCTTTAAAACTATCTATCTATCATTTCAGGTACAATGATAGATAGATTTTGATTCATCATCAAAATCTATCTATCATTCTAGCTCTAACAACTACCTTAAAGCTGACTGGGACTCTTTCCATGATTTTCTTTGTGACGGCCCTTGACTAGATATCTTTCATCTTCCTGCTGACAAAAACTCCATCTCTCTTGTATGGTTCAGATTTTGTTACCTCACCTAAAGATAAAGCTGAATAGTTTGCTAAGAACTTTTCACCAATAGCATCTCTTGATTCCACTAATTGTGTTCTACCTGATATAGCCAACAAATACTTTGATCCATCGTTTAAGATTCGAATCACTCCATCTTCTGTATCTAAAGTGATTTCCTGCTTAGACTCTTTTACAGCTTGTGGTCTAGACAACATACCTGCTATAGTTTTGCAGAAGTGTTCTCCAGAGCTGTTGCTTGAATTTCAAAACTATTTAACAAGTACTTATCAGATTCTTGTTTTCCAGCCTGCTGGAAAGCAGCATCTATTATCCCTATTTTCAATAATTCTGGAGAGCAATCTGATTTGTCTAACTACCATCTCATTAGCCTTTTTCCTAGGCTAATGAGATGGTAGTTATCATAAGCAAGGTTTTCGAATCTTTAATTAACAAACACTTAATCTCTCATATTAAACATAATTACTTACTTTCTGATCATCAATATGTATTTTAATCTTCTTGTTCTACAGCTAATTTGCTAACAGTAATAACCAATAGGTTTAATTGTGCATTAGATAGAGATGGAGAGGTTAAGGCTATTGCTATTGATATTTCTAAAGCTTTTGATAAAGCTTGGCATGCTGGTCTTCTCCATAAGCTTTCTTCTTATCGTGTATCAGGTAACATCTTTAAGATCATTGAATCCTTCCTTTCCAATCGTAGTATAAAAGTTGTACTCAATGGAAAGCACTCTTCTTCATATCCTGTAACTTCAGGGGTTCCTTGAGGTTCTACCCTTGGCCTTATACTCTTTTTAATTTACATTAACGATCTTTAAGATATTCTTACATCTAAGGTGGCATCATTTGCTGATGATACTACCATTTATTCTTGTCATGATAAGAAGCCAATTTTCTCTGATTGCTTGGAGGGCATTTGAGCTTGAAAAGGATCTCACTACAGCATGGGACTCACAGTGGCTAGTGAACTTTAATTCAGATAAAACTAAATTTTTTTTAGCCAATCGTTATCGCAATAATTTAGCCCTTCCTATATTTATGAACAGTAATGTACTCGATGAGTCATTTACCCTTCATTTTCTAGGATTAATTCTTACTTCTGATCTTTCTTGGAAACCGTATATCAAATCCATTGCAAAATTAGCATCAGCTAAGGTTGCATCTCATTATTGTGCTTGCCTCTTTCTTACTTTGGATTCTATTCTTGAACTCTACAAATCTCAAATCTGTCCTTGTATGGAATACTGTTAAATATCTAAAATGGATCTTCCAATGATGCCCTTTCTCTTTTAGACAAGGTGCGAAAACGCATTGTAAACATAGGTGGACCTGCTTTTGCAAACAACCTCTTTCTATTTTCTACAAATACTATAATGGGCACTGCTCTAAAGAGCTAGCGTCTCTTGTGACATCCAAAAAAAAACTAAATTAGATTGCAGAAAAGCTTGCTTCAGTTAAATGGTACCCTTCTATAAGCTGAATTCAAAAATTTAAAATCAAGTATAAATATTTCAAGTATTTCAAGAAGAAGTCATTACAGCTTAGTTTCTAGAAAAAATGCACCTTCATTTGATGTTGAAATTTTTTACCACAGATTCTTAACAAATTTTTAACAAAATGAATTGAAAAAGAAAAAATTTTTAGGCAAAAAAAAAATTTTTTGCCTAAAAATGATTATATCATTAGTAATTTTATATTATTATTTGTTTAATGAATAACTAAATTATTAAATAAATAATATAAAATTCAATTTAAAAAAACATTAGGATGAAACAAAAAACTTTTTTTTGAAATGCCACCTTGTTTTTCTGCCTTTTTATTGCTAAAAAAATGAAAAAAGAATAAAAGTTTAGTGGAAGTATCAAAAATTATCATCAAAACAAAAAAATTTGAATTTCTTGAAAAAGCCCATGCACAACCATTGAGGGGGCAGCTCACATAGCTCGCCAAGTCCATTTTAGACAGGTTTTTTATATCTTGTGCACTCATTTACTTCTGCCAAAGCCAGTATACAAACTATCAGATCACTTTTGTTAAGAGAACATTTTAATATTAGGAATTTTGCCTTACATTCGATTTTTTAGACTATTGGTCCTTTATAATGGCAGAAAACAAGTATAATTTAGCTTTTTGAGAATGTATTATCAATGATTATAAAAGAAAAGATTCAAACAAAAAAAAATTGCCCCCAAGTACTTCATTAACAAGTCCATTGTATATTGAATAATCAAACAATTTAATAAACACAACCCTTTAGAAATAGAGCATAAGATAAGCAAATAATTTAGTTAAAAAGTTACATATCTTTAATGAATTTACCTCTTCTTGTTTAGCATCTTGTGGATAAATATCAGGAATACCAAGCCTAGACCTTTTTAGTGGTCGCATGAATGTTTCTAAATTAATGGCCATTTTTTATACTATGTGACAGATCTAAAATAAATATTTTATATAAAAACATTATTGTATAAAAGATGTAAGATATTCCTTGACAACATTTGTTGTAATAATACCTAAGCAATATATTGTGGTGCACTGATAGTATACTTTAAGTTGGCTATTGTCTTTTAAATAAAATAATATGTGATAGCTGATTATACATTAGAAATATTTATCTGTAAATTTAATCAATATTTTTGTGTTAATACTCTTTTTTGAATTTGCATTAGTTTTTTAAAAACCTTTTTTGAAAAAAATTATATTATTATAAGTTAAAACCATTTTTCATATTTATAAACCAAAAAGTTTCATATTTATAAACCAAAAAAAAACTTAAATCGCAAAAAGATTTTATAAAATTATAGAAAATTAAATTATTTTCAGACATAAAAATATAAACTATGATTTGAATTTTTGAGTTCCAATTTCTACTATTATAATTTTAAACTTTAAGTAAAATAAAATCAAAAACCTTTGAAACCAAAAGTTCTGAAGATAAATTGGTCATTATAAAATATAAGTCTTGAAATTTAGTTTAAATTAGTTAAATTATTAACTTAAAGGTTGATGGAATATATTTAAAACCATGTTTTGCTTTTAGTTTAACTGTAACAACAGTTAAACTAAAAGCAAAAAAGTTTATACTATTAACTTTTAAATGAAAGTTAACTATTAATAATAGGGCAGCTTATATCTTACCCTTCATAATATTTTTGTTGTTTTTATGCTACTTTATTTTATTCTTGTAAAAAGTTTTGGAGTTTATTGAAAGAAATTTTCGAACCATAAGGTAACGGCTTTTTATGATTTTTTTGACACATTTATAACAATAACTTTTTAAATTTTCAATAAAAGAAAATAAAAAAATAATAAATGGACGCACTGCTGCTCAAAACATTGTATGGCAAAACAAAAATTTGAAAAAAAAAACATTTATTTAGCCGAAAACATCATCATTTAAAAACAATAGATTAAGGGCATACAACATAAAGAAATAAAAGAATGGTTATATTTTTAAAGTTTCGCTTTACTTTTTTAGATCTCTTTATTAATTTAAGCTTTTGCTACAACTGTACTGCTGTTCTGATTTTTTCTAGTTTGAATTGGTTATTTGTTATGTATTAGCGATGCACCGAAAAATGATATTTTCGACTAATTGTGTTTCGATTAACTGTAATCCGTCAATGCATATGTTCCGGGTACCATTAAGTATTTAACCTAATACCGTATATCAATAATAGAGTAACGGAAAAAATGTCAACAACTACTATATACCCATCATTACTATTATATTATTATTATTTTTTTTTTTTTTTTTTTTGTAAACTTATATATTTAAATAAATAAATGCGTAAATGTGATAAATAATTGTAATTAGTCAGTGTTGTTCAAAAAAAATTGGATTGATGGGATAACGATGTATAATGTAATTTTATAGTTACATAGATTAAGACAGTGAAATACTAATGTTTTATAGAAATTAACTAAAAACCTGAAAATTGCCTTCCCCCCCCCCCTTTCCTCTCCCCGTACTTTATTTAACAAGTTTTTTTTTTTTCGAGAAAAATATGAACAAGGTAAATTTACATTGAATATATTACTGGTAGGACTTCCAGAAGATCACATGATCTTATCATGAAGCCCTTTACAATCTATATAACGAATTAAAAGGTAGAAAATTTACAAATATTAAAAATTACATAAGCGTTAGAATATTCTTCAGATGTTAAGCAAGTTTTAACATAATATTTTATAATATGGATATATAACATTCTCAATATTGAACAATATTATAATATAAAGTATTCAGCATATATTGTTTAAATAATATTCATCACACAGTCGACAAAAATATCAAATAACTTGAAATACTAAAAATAAATAAATATATTTTGTGTTGAAAAGATTATTTCTTTTGTTTTCTTTTTAAAGGAGGAATAAGACCATTTAAAATAAAAATCAAAGTTAGGTAAAACTATTTTATTAAAAATTATTAAAAAGTTTGGTTCTATTTAATCAACTTTCTTCATTCCCTAATGAATGCACCGAATCTAAAATTAAATTAAAATTAGCCCTTCCTCCCCTCCTCCTTACTAGATGGTCTGGTTCCGTCCCTGGTTTGAGGTCATTTAATTCAAAATCAAAGCTAAAAATTGAAAGAGCTAAGTCACTATGAAAATATTAACTTGACCAATTTTGGTAAAACCTGTATTTTAATGTTGTTAAAGTTGAATTGCTATTAACTATATTATTTGAGAACACCTAAACAACATAGACCAGGATTAAACAGAGATTCAAAGTTGGAGAATTTTATGCAGTTGTGCCAATCTATTGAAGAGAACGGACGCGTTTTTATAAGCTCTTTAAAAAAAAAAAAAAATTTAAAAAAAAGAAGAAAAAAATATGGCAAAATACACTGTTGTACAAATTAGAGATATGTTAGAAATTCATGAAAACATATTATTAAAAATTTTCAATGACAAATTTGATAAAATGGAGCATAAAATAATTAGCATGCAAGAAAAAAACAGTAATCTAAAAAAAGAAGTTTGCGAATTAAAAAAAACTATTGAATTTATAAGTGTAAAATACGATAGCATTAACATCGAACTTGCAAAACAAAAAAAGAAAATAAACGCAGTAGCTAAACAAAGTGACAGCTTAAACGAAAATTCTTAAACCTAAAAAATAGTAACATTGAAGATAAACTTACAGAGTTAGAAGATCGAAGCAACCGAAGTAATTTAAGATTCACGGGAATTGAAGAAGAACCGAATGAGACATGGTAAGAAAGTAAAAGAAAAGTTCAGATTTTTTTAAAATCAGAACTTGGGTTTACAAATGATGTAGAAGTCGAAAGAGCCCATAGAACGGGAAGAAAAGCTTCAGATGGAAAAAAAAGTAGAACAATTGTAGTGAAGTTTTTTAATTACAAAGATAAAACTGCAGTGTTAGATCGATTTATTAAACTAAAACTATGGAACGAAACTATGGACTTTACGTCAATGAAGCTTTAGCGACAAAACGATTGAAATAAGAAAACAACTAATTAAAGAAGCGAATGATTTGAGATCAAAAGGTAAATTTGCTAAGGTAAAAGAAACTTCAAATATTTTTAGCATAATATGCTTAACTGAAACTTGGTGTGATTCAGATGATCCGAAATCTTACTTAAATCTTTTTTTTTTTTTTTTTTTTTTTTCTTAAATTTTATTTTATTTTGCTGTTTATATAAATTACAATTTCCTTTCACCAAAAATAAAACATAATTACAAATGTACAAGTAATAAACAGTCATGGGCTCAGAGAAGATATGGATGGCAAAATACCAACCTAATCTTTTCATAGAGCGCCTACAGATCATAACAATAATATATGGTAATATATAGTTAATAAATAAAGTAGAAAATTTAGGGAAAAAAAAAGAAATAGTAAAAAAGAAGATATAATATTTAAGAATAAAAATAGAGAAAAAAGAAGATGTATCAATTAAAAGTAAAAACACCCTCAATTAGTCAAAAAAGAAGATATAATATTTAAAAATACATATAGTGAACATATAGTAAAATATATATATATATATATATATATATATATATATATATATATATATATATATATATATATATATATATATATATATATATATATATATATATATATATATATATATATATATATATATATATATATATATATATATATATATATATATATATATATATATATATATATATATATATAGTTAAAAAGATATAATATTAATAAATACTAATAGTCACAAAAAGTTATAAAAGAATATATTTAAATACAAATTTCCAACTAAATATATGATATTATATTTTAAATATAATATATAAAGACTACATATAATATTTAAAAATACAAACTGTTAAATAATCATATATATTGCTAAAAAAAATTTTTTTGTAAACAAAAATAAAAATTAATCCGTAAGTTTTAGAACGTAAACCCTCCACCTGGGAGACTTTAAAATGATCCCGCTAGCACGAAAATCAAAAAAACGAGGCGGTGGTGTACTTTTTTCTATTAAAGAAAACTTGTAGTATATTATTAGGCCTGACATGAGTAAAACAACGGGCAAACAAAACTTAGAATTGTGTTCTCTATCTAAAGCTATTAATTAATGATAAAATAATCGATGATCCTTAAGAAATAGCAAATGAACTAAATAAATTCTTTGTTTCTGTTGGACCTAAACTTTCAAAAAACATTCCAAATATGATAAATCCAATCAATAATTATGAAATTCCTCAAACCTCTGGTCAAAGTGTCATTGAACAATCATTTTCAGAATTTGAAAATGCTTTTAAAATGCTTAAGCCTAATAAAGCAATTGGCCCAGATGATTTAAAAATGGAAACATTGTTATTAAGTCATACGATAATATAAAGAATACTCTATTTAAAGTTCTCCATTGTTCAATAAGTCAAGGAATTTTTCCGGTCCAAATGAAGGTTGCAAAAGTGACCCCTATATATAAAGGTGGTGAACTAGCAAATGTTGGGAATTATTGTCCAATTTCAGTTTTGTCAGTTTTTTCCAAAATTCTTGAAAAAATTTTATTTGATCGAATTTTTAATCATCTCTCTGAAAATAATATACTTTACAACAATCAGTACGGTTTCAAAAAAAGTAATTCTACAGAACACGCAGTACTACAACTCACAAGAATTATTACTGACTCCTTCGAAAAATCACAATTTACTTTAGGTATTTTTATAGACAAATCTAAAGCTTTTGATACTATTGATCACGGCATTCTATTAAATAAATTAGAACATTACGGTATCACTGGTAAAGTCTTAATGTTATTAAAAAGTTACTTGAATAATCGTAAACAATTCATGCATATTGATACACACTCAACAACTACTGTTTTAGATATATCCTGTGGAGTCCCCCAGGGTTCCATACTTTGACCACTGTTATTTCTAATTTATATTAATGACCTCTATAAAACTTCTAATTTAATGACAA